ACAAACCGCTCTAGAAACACGGCGAGCACTGAGCAGCTGGAATGGAAGGATAACAAGTTCATCAGTCTCGGGTAGGCCCTGGGCCTCTTCTCCCGAGAGGTAGCGGGCCCACACAGCCATTTCTGAGGTCCAGCCTGGCCTGTTCCTAACACTGGGCAGGCCAGGCCTCGCGGGGAACCCTCCTTGCGTGGACTTTTAACTTTACCCCATGTATCGTGACTCCCTGGTTTCTCAGGATTTGAGTCTTCCGGCACCTTCTTCCTCCAGGACATAATAGCGGGAGATTAGCAGTGGCCTCTGGTCAAGAGGCCTGCAGAGCTTCTCACTTCCGGTCTTCTCCGATCTCCTCAATACCTTGAATTCCCTAAGCAGCTACTTTCGCTCCCAGGCTTTCTCAGCCCTTCACGCCCCGGAGCCCACCCGGAGCCCACCAGGCCTGGGCCAGGTCAAAGCGCAATCAGGAGCTGAGGAAAGAATTTCCGGTCTTTCGCCTGAGCAGTCATGGCCTCCCAGGGTCTGCACTAGCAGGAAGCTGGGGTCACAAGAGAGGGCCAGGTGTTGAAGCCAAGGCATCTCAAAGTGGAACACAGAATCCCCAGCCAGTGGCTGAGCCTCTAGCTGACCACCTGGCTGGCGTCTATTTTGACTGTGACCCGTCACAAGAGGCTGGGTGTGGAGTTTTCCACTCACATCATATCAGAGCTCCAACAATTAAGATTTTGGAGCCTTGGGGATGCTGGATTTGGGGACTAAGGGTGCTCAACTTGTCATGATGGGGAGAGCAAAGGCTCCACCAGGGACCAAGGACTGTGCCAGCCGTGGAATGTCCCCCGCAGACTGCCGCCTCTGGGGGTGTCACTCGGGACTCTTGGCTCTCATTCCAGGAGATGAGCCCTGGTTATTGTGGGCTTTTGGGGAGGGAGTCATCAGATGCGAATTATCTGTCTCACCCAACTCATTTAAAAAAATAAATATGAAGCAAACCAGTACCACCCATGTTCAGGCTGTGTGTGTAAGGTGTATATGAAGCAAATCAATTTCATGTTTAGTACTGGGTCCCGTCCCCAAGATAGCTCATCTTGCATATGCAAATATCCCAAAATCCAAAGAAGAAAAAAAAAGCCAAACAATTATGGCTCCAAGCATTCTGGATATGGGATACTCTAACTTGACTTTTGGCGTCTGAATGTAGCCCATTTCCCATCTGGCTATCAGACTGCAGGGCGTTTCATTCAGGGCCCACTCCTCCACTGGTCCTGGCGTTAGGGACAGAAGGGATGCTCAAGCCAGGAAAGTCTCTGACCAGAGAGTAAGTACCGTGGGCTCCCTCACACATCTGGGGTCACCGGAGACCAGACCTCCATGCTTTAGTGGGATCAACTATGGTCCCCAAAATATAGGCACATCCTCATTCCTGGAACCTGTGACTGATAACCCGAGACTGGAAGAGCATCTCTGCAGGTGTAAGGCAAGGGTCTTAGATGGGAGACTCCCCTGGGTGCTCCGGGGGTGGGAGCTATATCCAGCCACATCCTTGTCCTTGAATATCTTGCACGTGCTCTCTCACACACAGACTGCCCACAGACACAGGGACTGGAGTGGCCACAAAGCAAGGGAGGCCAGCAGCCCCCCAAGCTGACAGAGGTAAGGAACCCACCCCCCTTAGAGCCTCCAGGGGCCCAGTCATGCTCACACCTTCACTCTTGTTTCAGCGACACAGAGGTTTCAAACATGGCAAAAACCACACTTCTGTTCTTTCAAGCCACCAAGGGCATGGCCATCTGCTGCAGCAGCCACAGAAGTGCACACACCTGTGGTTGTTCTGCAACCCGCCCCCCCCCAAGATCAACCGTGGAGCAGGCCCACGCAGCCTGCCCGAGGAACTAGCCTGTGACACTGGGAACACGTTCAGACCTCTTCCTGGGCCCTTTGAGGCAGCAGTCTACCTATACGCCCTGTATCAACTACTATGCAACTCCAGTTCTTAAGGACCCGCGGTCTAACGCGGGATCTGGTAGGTGCCTGGTAAACACTGGCTGTTCATGCTGAAGATGACTTCCTGCAGGGTTTGCTTCTGGCCTCGCATTCCAGAAGCTTCTGCTCTCTTCATGGTGTAAGAGCATCAGACTATAAAATTTAAGACAGTTGATGATTGTCTTTCCTTCCTCCAAACCCAGAAATTAATCACCTGTGCACTTTAATAGTCACTCGTCATCAACACCACACGACAAAGAAAACCTGCCTGCCAATTAGCCCAGGATGAAAACAACTTGTTTTCAATCTTCTGAAAATGAAAACTTGGAGCAACTGCCGTGTGATTTGAAGTAGCAGGTGCGATGCATCACTAGGCTAGTCTATTCCTTCCTCCTGTGGCAATCACGAGGTACTTTTTGGTTTATTTGGATGGTACCTGCACCCTAGCTTCTTCTGAAAAAAGAGGAAAGATTTATTTGAAAGGCAGAGTTACAGAGAGAGAGAGAGACAGAGATGAGGGTGGAAAAGGGCACCCTTGTCCATTGGAGTTGATATCCAGAAAGTAAATGCAATTTTTGCATGCACACACAAACTCAGCTAAAAACCCACAAATGCAAACAGTTTATATAAAGCAACACAGCAATTGGAAAGAAACATGAACTCAACCTTCTCAGATGAAGAACTGGGTGTCCCCGTCTGTCCGCCCCTCAGGTCTTACCTAAGGGGGAAGACAAGCTCAGTATCGACACTGCTCTTGTTTCTGTTTCCTTCAACTCTTGCAGCTCCAGATTCTTCAACTTTCATCTGGAGAGCCTCGGCTGTCCGTGAGTGGTGGAGAGGGAACTCCCAGCATCCTCTAGTCTGTTTATGCGTCCAGTTGTGTTGTTGCTTTGCTGATAGGGAGGATTTCGTACCATTGTGGAACTGGATCTTGGGCATAGGAATTTAGTTTTTTCAAAGTTTCAATTCAACAGCTGTTCATGACATTAAGACATGCCCTTCCTCCTCTGTGGGAGACAGGGAGGTACACGATGAAGAGGGCAACGCACCTTTCAGTGGACACCTGGAGCTTTTCCTGGGGAGACGGTCCTTCAGGTTAGACTCGGGATGACGCGTGCATTGCCAGGCAGGTGGGGAATGGGGACAGCTCAGGCAGCAAGACACACAGGCCCCGGCCCAGCGCAGTCCTGCGGCGGAGCGGAGAAGTGAGCGTGGCTTGGGCAGAAGAGGCTGCTGGGACAAGCCTGAGCACCAAGGCCCTTTTAGGCCATGCTCAGGAGTCTGGACTCCATCGGAACCGTCAGAGCAATCGACCCTGGCTGCGTGTTAGAATCACCTGGGAAATTCTGAAAAGCTGGTCCTGCCTAACTCCCCCTCCCCGACCAACTAAGTCATCTTTTGTGAGGGTGGAGCAAAAAGCCTCAGGTGATTCCTAGGCCCTCCAGGGCAGAGTCAGAGCTCCAGATAAGGGATCTACAAAGTTCCTATCTGAAGTCAGTGAACCCGAGGCTACTGCAAAAGGCTCATGGACGTCCACAGTGACTCTGGGGGTGAGGCTCGGATAGGCGCCACGGGCACAAGCTACAAGCCAGTCTTTGACAACCACAGGCCACGGTGGCCCTGAGCACGAGGTCCCAGCGCCAGCCAAGGCAGCTGTGTCAGGCAGTGCTCTTTGGCGTGCTGTGCCCCTCTTCCAGGCAGTCAGGGCTGGCCAGGGATCCTGGGCCCTTGTCCAGTCACCCCTGCCCTCTGCCCTTTGCCCCCAAGCTGGTGGATAACGGTCTCAGTGCCACTACTTTAAAGCAATTAGGGGGAACAACCCCCCCTACAAGAGGGACAGCGTTACTGGTAAAGCAGCAAATGGCATTGCTGGTGACCATGGCACGCTGGTCTTTCTGTCCTACACCCAGGACCTCTGCACACCTCTTAGATTCCTGAGCAGGTGCCATGCTGGGTGTCCTGGGCGTCCACACTGCCCTCAGCACACTCCACCTCACAGAGCGAACAGGGGTGCAGAGGCCAAGGTCACAATATGAAAATCCCCAAGGAACAGATATGTAAGACAATGACAATGGATTGGACCAGTCTGAGTACTCTGAAGCACAGTCATGGGAGCAGACGGCTCAAGGAGTTCAAAGAAGTACAACCAATACAACCAATACAACCAAAGAGATGAGGGAGGGCCAGACGCTTAGCCGAGCGGTGGGACACACAGCCAAGAGGGCCTGGCCAGGACCAGGCGGGGGTGCTGTGCACTGCTCCGATGGTAATTAATAAATCCATCCATCCATCCATCAGTAAATAACTCTGCAATGTAAGGTCCCACAAAACCAGATACAAATTTTTTATTTAAAGACACCAGTATTTTTCCCCCTAGATACACATGGAGACAAAGAAAAGTTACCAAGTTGTAGTTATATCTCTTCACTCCCCAGGAAACATCTTAACCAATAACTCTCTTGCAGTAACTATTGACAGCCATGGGATAGCATGAGGGAGTTCACTGCTGTTTCCCTGGTGGTCAGGGAGAATGGGGATGCAAAACACAGACATGGAGAGTAGATTCTCAGCAGATCTTTTTCTCTCTCTTTTAAAAAAATATTTATTTGGGAGGCAGAGAGGGGGAGAAAGAGAGTGCTTCCATCTGACGGTTCACTTCTGAAATGCCTACAGTGTCTAGATCCGGGCTTGGCCAAAGCCAGAAGCTAGGAACTCGGTGCAGGTTTTCCATACGGGCGGCAGGAACCCAATCACTTGAGCCATCCCCGCTGCCTCCCAGGGCCCGTATTAGGAAGCTGGAGTCAGAAGTTGGAGCCAGGCATTGAACCCAGGTATTCTGATATGGGTTGTGGGCATTTTAACTGGTGCTTTAACCTCTAGGCTGGACATTGGTCCCTCTCTCCTTTTTTCAGTCACATACATGTGATAGGTTTATAGGTTTACATATGGAGCTGAGTACCTGTAGGTTCCTTTGAATGTGACACGCTGACGCTCATGTTGCCAACTTCTTTTGCTTTGAAATTCAGTGTATGACTCCGTGGGGAAGCTTGGGAGCAACGTTCTTAATGGAAACCTCGACAGGCTGGGGTCCTACAGCGAGTGCCTCTCCACCCGTGCCCCGACGGGCAGCTTCCAAGGGCAGTACTGCAAACTTCACATGCTGCAGGTGAGCCCAAGCACCCACGCGCTCGCACTCGGAGGACACCTCCACGCCATGGCACGGCATCCAAGACCACTGCACACACTGCCTTTCCTGATGACAAAACAAAACAAAAATCAGACACAAAAAGATTAGGATGTTTTGCAAAAAGTTAAAATGAAATTTTACATTAGCAGAAACTCGCTCAGCGCCTGAGTGTGGGACATTACACAAGACCCTTGTCCACAAACCACATAGGCCTGAGATATTCTTCTTATGGGGTAAGCCCTCTCAACGACCTTCATGGGGAATCCAAGGTCAAATGCTGGGAGGCAACTCTGCTAGCATGATTCTGTCCACGCTCCTTGGGTGCGTTGGGTGGCTTTCTTCTTCCTTCTTGGGCTCAGCTGTTACTAGGGTAGAGTGGAGACTCTCCACCACTTGGGTTTTGAGTTTTCTCTCCGTTCCCCTCCTCCTCCCCCAAAGCCCTAGGCTGGCCCCTTGCTGCCAAGACATCACATCATGCTTGGTACAGGGTGGATCACCCTGAGGACCTTGGAACACACTTCCAGACTCAGCATCAGTTGAGGGAGACAGCAGAGGGGGAGTGGACTTCCATTACCCATGAGCCTCTTCTCAGCAGCAGAGCTCCAAACAAGACTTTGAGGTCATCATAGCAGCTGGGCCCTAGCCTTTATGACTACACTGCTCGATCAGTGGTCCAAGGTTGCAGGGCCCACTATCTTCAAAGCAGGCTAATCCTTTTAGTGTTCAGAAAATAAACTGTGAAGGGCACAGTCCTTTGTAAAATACACAGATGGATTTTATGTGTGTCACATGACATTAAAGAAAATCACATTACTGGTAGGCTAACAACAATTGCATGAAACAACTCAATAAGAAGTCCAAGATCTCTGATATTAAAGCTATAAAATGATCTTGTAATGGTTAGCCATGGAGATGGGGAGAGTCATCCTGCCAAGGTCCTGGGTAATAACTGCTTGAGGGCTTCATTCATGTAGACAAATGTCATTTTCAAAGCAGATGAATGGTTTTGATATTGGAGAGAAAGGACTGGCTGACACAATCAAATTAGTTATGTATTTAAAAGAAGCATCTCAGAAATTCTCATTTATAATTTGATCTTTTGTTTATTGGAACAGACATTCTAATTATTAGCTTGATTTATTAGTAAGTTCCTTACTTGATACATTGTGTCCTGCTACCAAGTCATAGCAACTTGGCAATTATATTGAAAATTGTCAGAGAGTCAACTGCTAACGACCTGAAATATGGAAGAGAAATGAAATGAGGCAGATTTTCCCAAACTAGTGTCTGCTTTCAAAGTAACAAGCCACAGGATAGGCCTGGGGGTGTACTTTTATTTCCATTTGGGTACATGTGATGTTCCGGAAACTCACTTGAAGTGCTCTGTAATGGAAAATCCATGTCTTAAGAACCTAGAAAGCTTTTCTGCTTTCAACACCCTTCTCTGCCCTCTCCTGATGTGCTTAGTTTACGGACAGTACAGCAGTGTTGCTTAGCATATATGAACCTGTGCATACGCCGTGAACCCTGAAATTAAAGAGCATGCATGTTTGCGTTTCCCAGGATGGAGCTGACTACAGTGTGGGCGTGTGCGTCCCCAATTCCTGTGCTGAAGAGGACGTGACTATGATGTCACGACTGGGTAGGTACCGAATACCCAGCGAACGTGTGTCTCAGCACAAAGTCTGAAAACCCCCAATTCCTTAGAGCCAACAAAGGCGACTCCTTCTGGACTGAACCAACCTTTCACTCTGATCAAGCCAGCAGACTGGGAATAGTGGAGTTCTGTGGGGCTTGGGAGAGGAGGTGATAAGATAGCACTGGAGAGGGTAGGCAGGGCGAGACAGGGAATCAAGAAGGGGTACGAGCTGAGACTTTAATAACAGGAAGCCACTCGCAGCTGCCTAGACAGGCCTGAAGAAAGGCATGAGGGGGTCTGGTTTCCATATTGTGTGTTCTCTGCTGTGGCCCATGTGTGACAGTCTGTCTCCTGCCAAATCCAGAAGCCACTAGCACTAGACTTGTGGGACGCCATGTGTGGGAACAGCCTGTGGCCCTGGTGGTCACCTGCCAGCTGTGTGATCCGGGCAGGTCACCTGACCCCTCCACGTTTGACCCTTCCTCTGTACAGCAGGGCGGGGCTCTGACCTTCACCCTGGCTCCCACATCTGTACAGCCTGTGTATCACAGCTCACCTCAGCTATGCAGATGGAAGACATTTAAGTCCAGATGGGTTGACTTCCTCCAAGTCTTGCAAACTTTTCAAGCAAGAGCTTTAAAATTTCTGCCACTGGAGTCTTTTGTATTTATGCCAGGCCTCTAAACAAGAACCGATGTGACCCATTATTGCTTTCTGCATTAATATGTTGATAGTGCAGCTAGTGTTCAATGACCTTCAGTTGTCCTCTGAATTTATGATGATCCTTACAAAGCTGCTAGCCAAGTGTTTCACGTGTTGTTAAAAAAGACAAATTGCTATCAAAGTCAAATTTAAATTCTTGTTGGACAAGTCATAAATATCCTGGAAACAAAGATAAATTTTGCAGTTTTCATTAAATTAGCATTGCAAGTAAATAAGTAACTCCCTAAGTTTACTGATTTAATGGTCTTTAAGAGATTTATTAATTAGTCTAATTTTTCTGGCTATGCCAAATTTACCAGCCAGAGTCGATGTCAGAGTAACAGAGAATGTTAGCAACAATTGCTAAGGGGGGCATTTTGGCACAGCAGTTAACTTGCTGCTTGGGCCACCCAGGGCCCTTATTTGAGACCCTGGGTTTGAGTTCTGGCTCTGCTTCAGATCCAGCTTCCTGCTAATGTGCTTCCCGCGAGGCAGCAGGTAATAGTTCAAGTTCTTGGGTCTTTGCCACCCATGGGGGAGGCCTGGATTGGATTCTGAGCTCCCAACTTCAGCCTGGCCAAGCCCTGGCTGCTGTGGACATTTGGAGAGTGAACCAGCAAATGGAGGCTTCCTATTACACTGCCTTTCAAAGAAATAAAAATTTAAAGAGAAATAATTGCTACTGACACTAAGACATTTTGAGAAGGTAGTGTTTGGAGAAAAGCAAGGTGAAGGTTCTCTTTGGGGAACGGGAAGAAGGAAAGGGCATGGTCAGGGTGAGCTCAGTGGACCTGGGGAATTGTGTTAGTGGAATTTGGTCTTCGTGGCCAAGGTTATTTCTCTAGCTTCGGCACAAAGGCTGGGCTAGAAGTCAGGGCACCTTTGTCCAGGGGCAAAGAGCCCCATCTGGAGAAGATTTGTCAGCTATTCCTTAAGACTCTTTGATGCAGTTGCCAACATTCCCTCTACAGATGTGGGGACAGCCAGCTGAGCAACACCAGGCGGTAGCTGCTGGCACATCCTTGACTCCCCCAGAGCAGGAGAGACAGGAGGGACAGGCCAGGAAGAGACCATGTCTGCATCGCAGAGGGAGGGAGCGTGCCTTGGCAGCTCGGGACACACTGCTTGTGAACAAAGCTTTGGGTGAAACACTGCAAAGCTGTTGTCGTGGGCTGTTGCAACATTTCACCCACAGGATGGTACATGTTGGTGAGGTTGGGTCCTCTTGGAGGAACCGTTGGTTCTGTGCCTCTTTGCTAGTCCCCTGGTGCCCACCTACAGCCCTCGGTGCTCCCTGCTGGTGGATGGGTCGCTCTGGTCTCTGCCTCCCATAGTCTCTGTGGCCAGGCTTCCCTGTTATAAGGACACCATTCAGAGTGGATGCAGGGCACACTCTACCTTTGACTCATTCATCCCGAGTTGATGGTATTGGTAAAGGTTTTGTTTCTACCATATTCACATGGTCCAGGCCTTAGGTCTTGAAACTTTTTGAAGGGACTCAATTCGACCTAGAATATTACCTAGTCTACTTCCTTATGTGAGTTCTTTGAAATCCAACAGGGAGCAGGGAAGAGGGTGCCTCTCAGCCACTTAGCCCAGGGCCCTGCGTTGAGCGCCTCCTTGACAGATACTAGACAAATCCTCCTGAGTTCACAGTGCAGCCAGGGGCCCTGCCTGGACAGACACAACTCAAGAGCCAGAAAAGAAGGGGCTTGTTGGAACTGTCTGTTCGACACTGGTTGGCAAACTTTACCCAGACTCAACAGTAAATGGCTATCCTCAGAGACTCGCCATTGGAAATTTTGGAATATTTTAGGGTGATCACACAGAGAGGCAATGGGCGCTGAGCTGTTTAGCCCCAGTGTTTAATAGTCCTTCACAGTAAATCCTGAACTGCTCTCTTTCCACCTTCCTTTCCTGTAAGAATGGCGAGGCCCACCCAATAGAATAGTGGGGCTGCAGGCTTCCCCTCACAAGTCTCTCTTATGGGTTCACCAAGCCCTCAGGAAAAATATGGAGCTATCCTCACAGTAACTCCTTGAAAGAGGGATGTGAAGGGAGCCCAAAGCATTTCACCCAATACCGTTTCCTGTTCTCAATTTCCTTCAGAAAGTATTGAGCAGTCGCGTATCTGGTCTTTGCGGGACACATCACACATGTGTGCTGGGATCAAAGCACTTGGGAGTTATTCATTTCAGAAAACCAAAAGGGTAGTTAGTAAGAAAATATGCACACCTGGGTTACCAGGAAACACTGCCAGGGGATAAGGGCTTGATTTCACACTGTGTGCCAGGGACGATCCTAGAAACCAGGGCTGCTACGGAGAGAGGACAGGCGGGTATTGACAGAGAGCACCCAAGTGGGCGCCGTTAGCCAAGAGGTGGGAAACAGATAAAAGGTTTCCCATTTCCCTGTGTAGACCTGGAATCTGGCCCAGTGTAGACGTTAGGTAGGGAAGACAGAAATGAGCCGGTTTGAGAGGGGCCGAAGGAAAACAAAGCAGCCTTGGAAAGGAATGTTGTAGTCTCAGATGCAGCCCAGTACTTCAGCTACAAAGTCCTGCCCATCCCCAACAACGTCAGAGGTGACCCTAGGCTTCCCTCCAAGGAACACTCAGAGCTAAGTGGGCTACCCGGTAATAAAAGTGCCCAGAGCCAAGTGGGCTACCCGGTAATAAAAGCTTGGGAGGAATTTTACCTACTTCACACCCAGAAAACCCCCTGTCCAGGAGAGGACGGTGTGAGGAAGGAGAAGGCAGGAAGAACTGGGCCGTTCCCTTAGGAGCCCCAGCCTGCATACAGACTGCTCTCAGCCCTGTGCCGAGACACGTGTCCGCCTGGCCCGTCAGGTGTCAGGTGTCAGGTTCTTGCCATTAAACAAAGTAACCTTATCTACCCCCGTCTGAATGGCTGGGCACTCCCTCAGGTTCCGCCTGGAGAGGTGCCCGTCCGTTCTGAAGGGGTCCCTACCCCATTCAACCTCGCTACCTTGCTGCTCGCTCCTCTCCGTCTCATGCCTGATTCCTTTCTTGCGTGAAGACTGGAAACTCTATTCCAGCCACCTCCACAAAGATACTTGAGGTTGGTTGAGGGAAATGAATAACTTCTTTTTACTGACTTTGGGTGTGCTAGACAAGGCAGCCTGAGGGCCAACCAACACGTATTAAGCTCTTGCTATGGGTCAGGCACTGTACTGAGGGCTTCTCCACGATGGCATCATTTAGTTCTTGCAACAGAGAGCATTGCCAGGATCCTCACTCCACCAAGGGGGGAAACCAAGGCAGAGAGCAGGTAACGTGCCCACAGCCTCATGGCAAGATGGAAGCCCAGATTCCCACACCGAAGAACCTGTACTCCTACACTGTGATCTGAGGTTAATTTTCCTTTTCTGTAAAACAAGGGGAATAGTTCTGTGCAGGCTGTTGAAGGCCTAGAAATAAAGAACAAAATAAAGAAAAAAATCTCACATGGAACAGGTGCTTATGTTACTCAGAGCTGGCACTACGGCTTTAGGAAGCCACAGTGGCACCATCCTTTGCTGGGGTTTGGAAGCTTCTGGTCCTGGTGCGCACCACGTGCTCGCCCGTGAGCTGCACAGGCTCCTGGGAACTCAGACGTCAGTTCTGGGCTCCTGCCTGGATTTGCCGGGTCGGAAGCTTGCAGGGAGGGGAGGCAGAGAGCAACCCCTTTAACAGGCCATCAGGTGACTTTGAGGCTCACCAAAGCTCGTGACAGCCGCCCTTGTGTCACCAGCAAGAGCCTCACAAGGCATTTCTCCCAGCGACTCACAGCCTACATCCTAAGTTGATGCTTTGTAGCGTCAGTTCAACCGGAAACTTTGGTTGGATTGTGGGTGTTCATCGTGTTCTTCCATTGCATTTATCGTCATCATCGGGGGGACCTGCGCACGAGCAGACGTGAGTTGGCCACGGTGCACGTTCAGGCTTGTTGTTTGCAGAGCCAGGCGCTCTGTGAGAGTCCGGGCAGGCTGAGAATTCAGGAGACGTGATCCACTTCCGGCCAGGCTGAGAGTTCCCAGTTCAGCATCCTCGCGTGCTCCTCCCTGCCGCGTCTGTGAATCAGATACACTCCTCACTCTGGACCCACAGGGAATTGGTCCAGGATCTCCAGTGGGCCCCCAAATCCATGGGTGCACATCCCTCATACAAAATGGCACAGTTTCCCTACAATCTAAGCATTGCCCCCGAGTACCTTAAATCCTCACCAGATTACTTACACCTAAGAAATGTAAGGGGCTGATAAACTGTGTTGTTTGGGGAATAATGACAAGGAGAAAAAGTCAGGACGTGCTCAGTTCAGGGTTGGAGCCCCTAGACACAGAGGGCTGACCATGTAGTAAAAGCCCCCTGCCCTCTCTAATATTAAGGTTTTATTCTGGAATAACAGAAATGAATGCACTTGGAGACATACGCAGCCTTATTGCAATATCAAGTATTAATGGAATCTTTTTTTTCTCTCTCTCTCTCGGTAGATATTTTAAGATTCAGAAACACATCGTTTCTGGCCCCTTCCCTCTCTCTGTTTACAACAAATCCTTCCTCCTCGCCTGGTGGCGGTGTGGCCAGATGTGCTGCTGGCAAGTTCCCCCTGGACCTGTTCGCTGCCGTGTGTCTGTAAGTACAGGCACCCGAGGTGCCCGGGTGGGATGCTGGCTGTGGAGGCTGGTGCAGCAAGTCCCTCTCCCAGCTGCACCCAGCCCGGTATTTTCATTCACTGGCTGAGGCTGGTCATGCTGCCCGACTGTACCACATTGCATGCCCTCCCACATTCGTATGCTGAAACCGCACCCCCAACGGGCTGATATTAGGGGGCAGGATCCTTGGGAGATGATCAGGTGACATAAAAGGGACCCCAGAAGGCTCCCTAGCCCCTTCCACCATGAGGAAACTGGCCCCAAGGCTCCGAAGTGGGCTCTCACAACAGCGTCTCTGCCGGCGCTTTGATCTTGGACTTCCTCGCCTCTGATTTCTGTGGCTTATCAGCTGCTTGAACTACAGTATTTTGTTACAGAAGCCGGAATTAACTAGACACAGGGAGATCACATTGACCCACCAACAAGGCAATGCAAAGGGCTCAGGGCGTGGCCAGCACTGTGGCGTAGTAGGCCAAAGCAAAGCCTGCATCCCATATGGGTGCTGGTTTGAGTCCTGGTTGCTCCACAAACCATCCAGCTCTCTGCCATGCCCTGGGAAAGGAAAAGATGGCCCAAGTGTTTGGGCCTCTGAACCAGCGTGGGGGACCCAGAAGAAGCCCCTGGCTCCTGCCTTCGGATCGGCTCAGCTCCAGCCCTTGTGGCCATTTGAGGAGTGAACCAGCAAATGGAACACCTCTCCCTCTCTCTCTTTCTCTCTGTTTGTAATACAATCTTAAAGAAAAACAAACAAACAACAACAACAACAAAAAAACAGTGTTCAAGAAGGAAGCCAGCCACACCAATTGGGATTGGGGTTCAGGAATTTGTTGTCCCTAAATATTCCTGTTCCTCAAGTCCTGTGACCACCCAAGAACTGTCTGTACCTGAGGCTCTGCGTCTCCCACAGGGCTGCAGCTGGTTCACTTCCCAAACAGGCCACAGAGGCCAGAGCCGGGTGCTTCCCAGGTCATAGCAGAGAGCTGGATTGGAAGTGGAGCAGCGGGACTCAAACTGGCGCCCGTATGGAATGCCAGTGCTACAGGCTTTATCCGCTACACCACAGTGCTGGCCCTACCACGCCTCTTGATTGCACCAAGAGGCCACATCGAGCCAGGGCCATCCACCTCCTGGATTGGTGTAAGCACACTCTGTGTTAGCTCCAGGACAAAACTGCATAACGGCACTGGTATCGCATGTATGCCTGTCTCCAGGGGTGTGTGACTGCATTAGATATGAGATATAGGGGTCCTTAGTCACATCACTTGTGAACAATGTCTTGTTTTGGTTGCTCTTTATTTATGTATTTTTTACAGTTATAATATGGAGTCAAGTGAAATAATTTCCTTTGTAATTTTTTTCATGATTTTTATTCCCAGAACATCATTTACCACTACTAAAATTATTAAATATAGGTTGTTATTTGAAAGGCAGAGAGAGAGAGAGACAGAGGGAGTGAGGGGGAGGGGGAGAGGGAGAGGGAGAGGGAGAGGGAGAGGGAGAGGGAGGTAAAGAGAGAGAGAGGGAGGGAAAGAGAGAGAGAGGGAGGGAAAGAGAGATCTGTCATCTATTGGTTCACTCTCCAAATGCCTGCAACAGCCAGGGCTGGGCCAGGTCAAGGCCAGGAGCCTGGAACTCAGTGTGAGTGTCCCACGAGGGTGGCAGGGACTCCAGTATTTGGGCTGTCATCCGCTGCCTCCTAGGGTACTCACTAGCAGGAAGCTGGAACCAGGACTCAAACCCAGGCTCTCTGGTTGGTAGGGGACTCAGGTTTCTCAGGTGGAGTCTTAACCACTATGCCAAGTGCCCGCCCTAAATATCTGCTTATATTAGCGTTCAGTGGTTCTGTTTTTCACGGGACTGTTCTCCCTGCGTCTTTCTTTGGCGTCACAGAGGTGAGGCCTGGCTGCCACACGTCTTCTCCCTGCAGGTTCGTTGTGCTGCTGGGCCTCGCCCTCCCTCTGGCTGGAACCCTCTTCGTGGCAGCCAGCGCCTGGGGGTCAGCCCCTGGGACACTGTCAGTTCATGGAGCCCCTTCTACCACCTACGGGAGTCTGCCTTTGAGAGAGCTGGAGAGCGAGGAGCAAAGAAACAAAATTGGAGAGGCTGATGGGTTGCCCCCTCTCTTACCAGCAGGAGCCCCAAGCAGAGGAAAAAGTAGGTATTTTAATGAAACTAAGACCCCCCCCCACCACCACCACCGAGAGGGGAAATAAACAAGTGCACAGCTGGAAAAGACTTCCTACAGGGCTGGATTGCTGGGAATGCAACAGCTTCTGAATGTGGGTTTTCCGTGCCTGTTGGGGCAAAGCGAGGCCACTAAAAGTGCTGTTTATTTCTTCAGTGTAACAACCCAGTGTGTTTCTGTGCTCATCATAGACGAGGGCAGAATGCAGCAAGGGTTTCGCTGCAGGCACTCTCCCTGGATCTCCACGATCACTCCGTGTGCTTTCACTGTCACAGTGACACACGCGGTTCAGAGATGTGTCCGCCATCATCGAGGTAAGCGATTCGCATACACACTGGAGCCAGGGGAGCGATTCTGCAACACGAACTCCTCAGCGCTGGAGAAACACCCAGCCCAGCAGCGTGCACAGTGAGAGGCTGGAAGTCCCTGCGCCACACTGTGCTGGGTCTGACTGAGGAGTCAAGGGCGTGACCTTCACCTCCACCTGCCTGCATGCGAGGCACACACGGGGCATAAGAGCCTTCGGAAAGTTCACATGGTGCAGAAAACTATGCCTGGATCTCAAAGTTTTAGCACCAAAACAGACTTATCTTTTGAAAGTTATGTATTTATCTGAGAGATGGGGCGGGGACAGGGGTAGGCAAGAGAGGCGTTGGGGTAGACTGGGGGAAGGGGAGGGGGAAAGGGAGAGAGAGGAGGAAGTACACAGAGAGATCTTCCATCTACTGGTTTACTTCCCAAGTGCCTGCAACACCTGGGGCTGGGCGAGGAACCCAACTAGCTGAGCCATCAACTGGGAAGCCATCAAGCAGGAAGTGGAATAGGGAGCGGAACCAGGACTCGAACCTGGCACCCTGACACAGGATGCAAGAGTCCCAAGCAGCTTCTTAACCACAAGGCCAATGCCTGCCCATGCCCCATGCCCCCTGCCCCCCGCCCCAAATGAACTTGATCTTTCAGTTCTCTTTTCCACAAACTTTTTGAAGTGCCCTTATGTCTGCATCTCGCACAAGAAGAGTCTGGTGACGCACAGGACCTCAGGGCATGGGGAATGATTTTCGCAAAGCTACATAAATGTCCCTCCTGACTCCAGCTAAGGGAACAAAACTTTTCAGAAAGTTCAGTGACCGGACAAGAACATGAACACGCGAGAAAGTGGCTTCAGGGTGGATGTCCAGCGTGCGATGATTTTCTCAGGTCCTATTCAGATTTTAGGGCACAAACCAAAACGGGCCACACCAACCAAAAACCTCACCAACAAGAAAAGCGAGCCACAGAAGGGCCCCGGGGCCGTCTCCTTCCCAGAGTCACAGGTGACTCTGGCAATGGCGCTGGCCCTTAGACCCACCCATGAAGGCAACGTTAACCGTTAGGCTGCCGAACGAAGGCCAGTCCCCGCTGCTATGCCATTTCCACCCACGGCCCTGGAAAACACCCGCTCTGTGTGTGCGTTCCAGTCAGGTTTCGAGGACAGGTCCAGTGGCCTCGGCCGAGTCTCAGAAACCCGTCAGCACTTCTCACGTGATGTGGTTCCAGACCTTGGTCGGCGCCCCGGCCACCCTCAGACACCCATGGTCATGGTCGGCGTGGCAGAGAGGGCACACACTGAGAATCCCCGGTCGGACCTGCTTTGATCGCTAACTCTGACCTCGGCTGCTGAGCTGTGTGAGCCTCAGTTTCCACACGTGGAAAGTGGGATTTATGGAAGGAATTAAATGAGATAATACACACTCACCTCCTCTTAAACTTCATTCCCCTTGTCCTCATCCTCTTCAGGGAAGTGGGGGTGGGGGAGAGGGAGAAAGAGCAGGGGGCTTTCATCTGTAAGACCTCTTGCTTGTGGGCCCTGCTGACAAGCAGCAGGGCTGGTGGGCCCCAAGGCCATGCCGCGGGCTTCGGTCAGAGTGGCCGGGAGCTCACAATCACTCGAATTCACCATTGCTTTCATCTGTGGCTGGCCAGCTTGCGTAGGCCTGCATTTTAAGGTCAGATCACCGGATTTAGGGCAGACACACCTGGTATGGAAATGTTAGGTTCCCGATCTAAAATGAGCACCCCCTGTGACAGGAACCCCGAGGTTACACTCCTTTTCCAGCTGTTATATTTAACAGTGGTCTCAAAATGGGGGTTGCTCTTGTCCTGTTGCCATAGCAATTTTTTTTGGTAGTTAATACCAACAGGGGTAAAATACCACACTCTGGGAGGACTGGAAATCGAGGAGGGACAGCAGGGCTCAGCCTTTTTTCCTCATTCTTTTTACATTCACCAGCAAGTCAAATCAACACAGCACTACTGTACCTTCTAGAAGTTTACAGCCAAGATGGGCTTTCTAGTCTCGATTCTTTATCCTGCACAAGTAACTGCAGCATTTACTTAGGGTGGTTTTCTTTTTTTTTTTTTTTTGAGAGAGAGAGAGAGAGAGAGAGAGAGAGAAAGGTCTATCCTTCCGTTGGCTCACTCCCCTAATGGCCGCCACAGACAGCGCTGCGCCGATCCGAAGCCAGGAGCCGGGTGCTTTCTCCCAGTCTCCCATGCAGGTGCAGGGCCCAAGTACCTGGGCCATCCTCCACTGCTCTCCTGGGTCACAGCAGAGAGCTGGCCTGGAAGAGGGGCAACCGGGACAGAATCCGGCGCCCTGATCGGGACTAGAACCCAGGGTACTGGCGCCACAGGCAGAGGATTAGCCTAGTGAGCCACGGTGCCAGCCAGGGTGGTTTTCTGACATGAGCCTTTCTGACGATATTTAGGTGGGAGACATGAGTGACAGTGTAGAATGAGAATGATTTCTCCTTAACAAATTTTCTCTATGTGCTTATATTTTACTTGAAAGGCAGACAGGGGAAGCAAGGGGGCGGGGGAAGGAGAAAGACCTTCCGTCTGTTGTTTCGTTCCCCAAATGCCAGCACCAGCTGGGGCTGGGCCAAGCCAAAGTCAGGAGCCAGGAACTCTGGGTCTCCCACATGAGCGACAGGGACCCAGCTATTTGAGGCACCAGCTGCTACCTCCCAGGGTGTGCCACAGCAGGAAGCTGGAGTGGGAAGTGGGGGCAGGACGGGAACCCAGGTGCCCTGACAAGGGATGCGGGTGACCCCAGTGGAGTGTCACCCCTGTGCCACGTGGCCGCCCTTACGAGATTGCCATGAAGTGAGCAGCGATGGGCTGCAGGCCCTGGACGTCAGAGCTCATCCTTTGTGGTCTGTTGCTGAAAGTGGCTCACAGCAATAACACAACATTCAGATGGGTTGCAAGATTTTTTTAAAGCACGGTCGCACCCAGCGCTTCTCCCACTGTGCGCATCGGAACTACCCGGAGGCTTGTCACAGCACAGGGTGCTGGGCCCCAACCCAAAGCCCCTGGCTCAGGGCAATGCGCATGTCCAGCCAGCCCCCGGTAGGGCTGAAGCTGCCCGTCCCGGGGACCTCACTACGGGAAGCAGTGGCCACCGGCCTCCACCTGGTCCTCCCCATCCATGGCCCTGGGGGTCTAACACCTTCCAGGCACAAATGAGCACAATGCTACTCAGCTGTCTCCCCTACCGCCACTTCGTTTCAGATTTGATAAACCACTGGTGGGGACGTTCACCGATGAGCAGGACTTCCATGGGGAAAAACTGTGCCGGAGTGAGTTTGGGTTCCAGGTCTTGCGGTGGGCACGGGCGTAGGCCGTGGAGAAGCTCTGGGGGGTCCCAGCAGCCAGGACTACATGAGCAGGGCCTGGCCGGTCAGGGCCTGGACGCCTCCTCCCAGCATTTAACACCAAATTGGAATGGTCTGTCGCGCGCTTCGCCTCTGGCGTTCTCTTTCCTGCCCTCGTAACTGGATTGCTGTGTCTTGCGGGTGGCATAAAGCTCTTTGCCGCATTTTACACCCTTGGAAATCTGGCGGCGGTAGCCACTGTGTGCTTTTTAATGGGACCCATGAAGCCACTGAGGAGATGCTGGAAACAAGATTGCTTGCAACAGCTATTATGCTTTTGTCTCTCGTGGTCACCTTGCATGCTGCCCTTCAGTGGCGTAGGAAGGGACTGGCCACATGCTGCACGTGGAGTTCTTATCAATGACCTTGATGCAAGGGACGTATCAACTAAATGCCAGTCTTCTACGTCGAAAATCAGAAGCGTGTGGAAAAGAACATTCAAATGTCTCCAAAACTGTGGGGAGCAATCCGGACTGGACTAAGTTACTGGAATTAAGACTTATTCTATGCATCTGCTCTCCCACAATATGGCGCTGGGAGAGAAGTAAACAGCTTCTACACAGCTGCCTCCAGTTCAGCTAATAAACTGTAGGACTTGCTCCTGATTGGAGGAGAGCAGCGTACTCGGCGTGTGGGCAGCCGAGTTGGGATTGGCGGAGGAGGACTATAAAGGAGGAGAGAGACAACATGCACCAGGAACATCTATGGGGAACATCTAAGGGGAACATCTGAGGGAACACCCGTGCAGCCCCCCGAGAAAGCCGGCCGGCGGTGTGCCGCTCCCCTGCGGAAGTGGGGAATGTGGCCAGGGGGAACTGCCCTTCCACGGAGGTGGAAGGGATAGTAGCCAACCCGGGAAGAACCAGCAGCAAACCCGGGGAGGGCCGAGCAGACGAAAGAACAGCGCAGGGTTCAGTGTTGCTCCTCCACGAAGAGGGGGAGCGACATAATGGTGCCGTGACTCGGATATGAAGCCTAGGCAGGGCTTAGTGTCGTTCCTCCACGAAGAGGGGGAGCGACACAAAACAGTGCCAGTGCCAGCTTGGCCATTCTGTATACCGGAAAAAATGCCGTATTTGATCTGTTCAATGCTTGTCACTGCGGAGTCATGATGTGTCAAAGAGGAGGAGATGTTTAAGCGTTGTCATCTGGAACTTATTTTTAGTCAGTTTTTAAAATCTTTTCAAAACATCTTTCAAAATGTATTTAAGGGATAAATCTGCTGTAAGGATATTCAGCTTTTTTTTTTTTCAAATGTCCATATTTTTACGGCATTTTTAAAATTTGAAGTGTGGGGCCACTGCTGTCATGTAGCAGGTTAAGTCTCTGCCTATAGTGCCGGCATCCCACACGGGCGCTGGTTCAAGCCCTGGCTGTTCCACTTCCAGTCCAAATCCCTTCTGAAGCCCCTGAGAAAGCAGTGGGAGATGGCCATGTACTTGGGCCCCTGGCACCCATGTGAGAGACCCCGCTGAAGCTCCTGGCTCCTGGCCTTGGCCTAGCCCAGCCCAGCTGCTGCGCCTTTTGGGAAGTGAATCGGGATGGCAGATCTCTGTCTCTCTAACTTTGCTCTGTAACTGCTTTATAAACAAATATTTTTTCCTTAAACTTGAAATGTGGGATTTTTATTGTAAAGCTAAATATTGCTTATTATGTATAACTGAAAGTATATAAATCATCGATTTTGAAATTAAAAATATACCTGGCACTTATTTGCATAGGCAGGCATTGCGCTAGATGCTTGACATTGTTCTAGAATTCTCACAGTAACGCTTCAGGAAGCTTTGCCTGCTTTAAAGACGAGAAAACAGAGGCTCAGGGACATGACAGAATTCCACGGAACCCGGCAGAATCCAGGGCCTGTGTCTCTACATGGCCCCACGTGGCTTCTCAGGAAACTGGGCAGGAGCTAGGTGCATTAGGTGTGGGAAAATGCTGATTTTGCCAAATTCGTTGCCAATTCCTGGTGAGCGCGAAATCCTTCTAAATGAGTGAGTGAGGTGCCTTCAAGCAGACACACTCCTCAGGAGTGACTCACGTGGAAAAACTCTTTGGGGCTGGAACTTCAAAATGCTAGGCTATTAAATTCTTCAATTTAAGAAATTGATTTAGAGCACCAGAGCTTGGGCTAAGCCAGCTCTCTTTTGTAAATAGGTTTTCATTCTGCAAGGGCTGTAACTGGTACAGAGCGTTTAAGGTGCTGAGCTCTGTCCAGAGAAAATGTTTCACAAAGCCAGCTGGAGTTCAAGTCCCGTGTTTCACAACTCCAGCCACTCGGGATAAGTCAAGTTCAACTGCACACTAAAGGGAGCACATTCAGACGAAGAGATGAACCTTCTGATGAAGTCAGCGGCCGTGACTAGTGGTGGAGCTGTGATCTCCGGTGTGCTGCATCTGGGTGGTTTTCTGTTCAGAGCGATGACAGACATCTCCTCACTGGGTCTTCCTTGTGGGGAGCAACTCGGACTAGACTAAGTTACTGGAATTAAGACTTATTCTATGCATCTGCTCTCCCACAATATGGCGCTGGGAGAGGAGGAAACAGCTTCTACACAGATGCCTCCAGTTCAACCAATAGACTGTGGGACCTGCTCCTGATTGGAGGAGAGCAGCGTACTCGGCGTGTGGGTAGCAGAGTTGGGATTGGTGGAAGAGGACTATAAAGGAGGAGAGAGACAACATGCACCAGGAACATCTAAGGGGAACATCTATCTGAAGGAACACCTGTGCAGCCCCCGAGAGAGCCGGCCGGCGGTGTGCCGCTCCCCCGCGGAAGTGGGGAATGTGGCAGGGGGAACCGCCCTTCCACGGAGGTGGAGGGTCGGTAGCCAACCCGGGAAGAACCAGCAGCAAACCCGGGGAGGGCCGAGCAGACGAAAGAACAACGCAGGGTCCTGTGTCGTTCCTTCACGAAGACGGGGAGCGACACTTCCTGATACTCCACCGATCGTCACAAGATCCACGTTGATTCCCATCACGTGGGTATGCACGCTGGACACAGAGAAGTTCCTCCACTTGTCAGAAGTCACAGGGTTAACGCATGTCAGCCAGATCCAGAGCCAGGAGTGTCTGATGGGACCCACAGCACAGGTCGCAGAGCCACCTGCTACCTTAGGGATCTGTAAGTGGTTCAAATGCCCACGGATGGCATTTCCGGAGACACGCGGCTTTATGGACCAGACGGCTTCTGACTGATGTCCACATTCACCTCTCTGACCCTGGGCAAAAGAGGACGAGGGTCAGAGGTTGGCACTGTGGAACCTGAGCTTGGGAAGAGTATTCTGCATTAGGCACCGACCTCAGCCATGTCTGTTAGGGAAAGTCCAGATTGCAGGAAGGGAGACCAAATGAAAACTCCCCATAGTTCAGGGGTTGAGCTGGCCAGGGCAGGCTGAGAGCTCTGACGCACGGCCAAGATCACTGGGGCGGTGTGGTGCTGGCTCCTGTTGTGGGCAGTGCGTGGGTGGGCGCCAGCTCCTGTTGGGGGTTAGTGTGTGTGGGTGGGCGCCAGCTCCTGTTGGGGGGCAGTGCGTGGGTGGGTGCCGGCTCCTGTTGGGGGGCAGTGTGCGTGGGTGGGCGCCGGCTCCTGTTGGGGGGCAGTGCGTGGGTGGGCGCCGGCTCCTGTTGGGGGCAGTGATGGGTGGGCGCCGGCTCCTGTTGGGGGGCAGTGTGTGGGTGGGCGCCGGCTCCTGTTGGGGGCAGTGCTGGGTGGGCGCCGGCTCCTGTTGGGGAGCAGTGCGTGGGTGGGTGCCGGCTCCTGTTGGGGGGCAGTGTGTGGGTGGGCGCCGGCTCCTGTTGGGGGACAGTGTGTGGGTGGGCGCCGGCTCCTGTTGGGGGCTCTCGGGGCGACACTAACGCCCCTGTTCTTGCCCAGGGTTCCTAGGAGCCATGGGCCGTGTCCTGCAGTGCTTCTCCTGGCAGCAGACCGTGCCGGCCATCCGGACTGCGAGGGCGCCAGGAGGCACCTGCCCCGTCCTGGACGGCATCCGCGTCTCCAGTCTACTCTGGATCATCTCGGGACACGCCAGCCAGATGACCGCGTGGCTCTCTTTGGGTGCGAAAGCTGACAAGCCTCGGCTCTGGGAGAGGGCAGGGAGGGAGCACAGACCCTCCCGGGGGTACAGCCACGTGGGGCCGAGGGACGGAGGCCGGCGCCCTCCCTGCCAGAGCCTTCTTCCTGTTAGAAAGGCAGCCCAGAACCTCCTCTGGGTGGGGTTTCCAGTCTAGTGTCCGCTGGCTTAACTCCTCCTGGGTACCAGTCAGGCAGCGGCTGCCGGGTGAGCAGGGAGCCCTGAGTGCTGTATTTGCATCATCCAAGGAGCTGGGTGCTTCTCATTACGCTTCATGAGGCCATAAGCTGACGTTTGTTTTTCTCCCTGAAGAGCAGGCAGGCGTAGAGAACCACAGCGTGCTGGTAAGGCTGGTAAGGAGTCAGTGGGTCCCGGCCTTCTCCCTGGCGCCGCAGCCTGAAGCCTCCCATCAACAGCGGTGGCGGCCTCTCAGCAGATGTCAGTGTTGAGGCAATGTCCCGGAGAGAGGCCCAGGACAGCACAAAGCCACAGTTAGGGACCCCAGTCTCCACCTCTTATTTCCGATCTAAGTTCTCCCCTTGAGAGAGTTACACTGGGTTTTGAAGCCCTGGCACATACCACCATGCACCTTCAGCGTTTTCTGGAGGGCGAGATCACACGACTTGCTGCTATTAAACAAAGTCACGCCTTTTTCTTCTTTCTGTCTACTACAGATAATGTGCTTGAATGGAGGACGAGGGTGCTTCAAAACCCACTGCACCTCTACTCTCGCAGCGGCCCGTTCTATCTCGGGGTTGATTCGTTTTTCCTGATCAGGTAAGGAGGTCAGGCTGTCTTGTTGTTTGTTTTGGGATTTGTGCACTTGTCTGTGCGCCTGTGTTGTGCGCTTGTGTGCTCACTTCAGTGAGAAAAGCCAAACGGCCCGCATTCACTCACTAGGCTTCTGTCCCATTCGACACAGTGTGGTTGTCACAGGCTACCCTCTACTGTATCTCTGTTTAATAAGTGAGTTAGGTTGGCTTACAAAATGGGTCTTTCACAAAAGTTGATCTTACTTATCCAAACTGTTTATTTTTAGGGTTCTCAAAATTTTAATCCATAGACAAGATGTCTGATGAAGTTTCCAATTCTCATTCCAGTGAAATGTGAAAAATTAAGAAAGCGGCGTGGTATTTCATAAGGTTATTTTTATTTAAGTTAACGATTAAGAGCTAACATGTCTGAATTACTTGAGAAACACCAGCCTGTGTGCTAGGTACTTTTCTTTTACTCCTTGTGACATCCCTGTGCAGTAGGGGTCACTGTTAAAGGCCCCACTTCTTTTTTTAAAATGAGGTGAAATCCACATAACATAAAAGTAAGCCCTGGAAGCGCATTGAGTACATTCACGGTGTCGCATGGCCACCTCTGTCTTATTCCTGAACACCTTCGTCAGCCCAAGGCAAACCTGATGCTCGTCAAGCAGTCACTCCCAGGCCCTATCCCCCATAGTTCCTGGAAGCCACAGTCTGCTTCTTGCCTCTTTGGATGCACCCATTCTAGACAGTTCATGGCAGTGGAAACATGACAAGCGGCCGTGGTGCCTGGCTTCTTTCATTTGGTGCGACCTTTCTGAGGTTCGGCCATTTGTAACATGGATCGGCATTCCATACCTTTGTATGGCTGACAAGTGTTCCACTCACTGCACAGACAGACCACAGAGCCCTCATGTAAAGACCAGGAAGTTGAGACTGAGGGCATCGTCCTGGTGGTGGCCCTGGGATCCGCACCCAGCCAGCCACGTTCCAGCACCCACTGTGTTGGCCACTGTACTGTCCTGTCTACATCTTTGGGGCAAAATATCCCTTCCTTCATAGAAAGATGGCAACAGCGGACGGAATGCATGCAGCCATCCAGCCACCTGTTCCTGAATGCTTTCATGCCAGGCCTCGTCCTATGCCCTAAGGATACATCGATGGAGCAAACTTCCGTCGGCAGGGATGCTCGTGCAGAGGCCAGGCCCTTAGCGGTCAATAAACAAGACACAGTCTGATAAATCTCAGGAAGGAAATAGATAGAACCGCAGGAAGGAACCAGCCCTGGGGAAAGCTGGGAGAAGAAAGTTTCGGGCAGAGGGATCAACTAGTGCGAAGGCAAGAGTCAGGGAGCCTCGTGCAGGGAGGAGAAAGGTCGCTGCAGCCCGGTGCGAGGGAGAAGAGGGGAGAGGCAGAGAGTGCAGGGCAGGGGAAGAGTCCTGGAGGCACCGGAAGTCGCTGGGCTGGTTTAACATGGAAAGTGGCATGCTCTCACTTATTTTAAACACTGTCGCTCTGGCTGCTGTGTGAATAATAGACCTCATGAGGACAGGTACGGAAGCAGGAGACTTTGCTCAATTTGAGACAAGCTAAGCTGGGGGTCGGTTGGCGGCTGGGATAGAGAGAGAAGGTGGCACTCGGGATACGCTTTACAGGTGGAACTGTCAGACTTGTGGCTGGTTCAGATGTGAAGTGTGAAAAAGAGGGAGGAATTGGAACCATTTTTAGGTTTCAGTCTCAGCGGGAGGAGATGGTGGTGGCATTCACTGCGATGGAAAAGAGTGGTGGGGACGCAGGGTGCGGAGGGGAGGTCCAGTGTCTATTTTGGACGTGTGAAGATGAAAGGGCCCTGTAGGGGTCCCATCAAGCTGTCAGCGGACCAGCTGGCTATTAAGGGGAAAGCTCAAGGTTGGAGATGGGAGTTTTGGGGTCTCTGGCAGAGAGGCAGCATTTAAAACCATGGTGTTCAATCCGATCCCTCTAGGAGGGATGGCAGATTGGAACTGAATACCAGCACTTGTGCCTTCCAAGCTTTAGGTGCTGGGAAGGGGAGGGGAGCCCACAGAGGAGTTGGGAAGTGAGTAACATTAAATGGTGGCCGGCGCCGTGGCTAATCCTCCGCCTTGCAGCACCAGCACACCGGGTTCTAGTCCCGGTTGGGGCGCCGGATTCTGTCTCGGTTGCCCCTCTTCCAGGCCAGCTCTCTGCTGTGGCCAGGGAGTGCAGTGGAGGATGGCCCAAGTCCTTGGGCCCTGCACCCCATGAGAGACCAGGAGAAGCACCTGGCTCCTGCCATCGGATCAGCGCGGTGCGCCGGCCGCAGCGCGCCAGCCATGGTGGCCATTGGAGGGTGAACCAACAGCAAAGGAAGACCTTTCTCTCTGTCTCTCTCTCTCTCACTATCCACTCTGCCTGTCAAAAAAAAAAAAAAATTAAATGGTGGGCACAGGAAGACCCTATGAGGATCAGGAGAAGAGAGCTGCTCAAGGAGGATGGGTGTGGCCAATGGGGCGCAGCACCCATGAGCTGAATGTGTGAAGAGAGAATCATTGGATTTCTCAACTGGAGGCCTTTTGGTGAAGGAGGGGAGAAGACGGGGCATGTGGGCACCAACATTTAGCGTGTAAGGGGAAAAGAAACGGAGTGGCGCTGCACAGTTTACGGGGCACAGAGCGGGCCGGTTAAAGGAAAGGCATTCACGACACATCTGCAGTGTGTTGGAAATGATGGGAAAGGACGGGACAAGCTAACGGGTGCTGTTCATGGCCGACAGCAGCCGCAGAGCCACGTTTTCATAAGAGCTCCCATTAAACAGTTTGTATAAGGCTATGCAATTGGAAGGTGGGTAAGCCTTTGGGTTAGGAAAGAGCAGTCCCAAGCTGGCAGAGCAGTAGGAATCACCGTGTGCTTCCTGCAACCCTCTCCTCCCTGCTATCCTGGGTCCCTCTCCTCCCTGCTATCCTGGGTCCCTCTCCTCCCTGCTATCCTGGGTCCCTCTTCTCCTCGAGGGCCTACACAGCCGGGCCTTCATGGTCCAACTACCTACAATGAACCTACCCTGAACCTACCCAGCAGTCTCTGCTTCATCTTCCTGGACCTATTTATTTTTTCTCTTTGCCTGACATGCTACGGATGCCACGTTTGATGAACTGGTTGCTTGTGTGGTCTGTCGATGATGGAACGTCGAGCAGGACTGTTTTCCATCGTGTGTGCCTCTGTGTCACCAGGGCCTAGAGTGGGGCTGGCCAATGCCCAGCACTCAGTGTATTGTTGTTGATGGGGATGACTCCTGGTTTTATCTCAAGGCTCTGCTGTGAGTTCCTTGTGGTATTGCCGAGAAGGTAGGGTGCAGAGACCCACCATGGGAGCAGCAGGTCATGCTGGGAGGTGGCCAAGGTGACAACAGAGTAGCTCAGACAGGTAGGGGTCAGAGTGCACAGCTGGCGCCAAGGCCAGCAGTGCTACAGGCACCACTGGGCACCCAGCTTTCTGGGTGTGGCCAGGCAGGTGAGGTACAAACTCGGGGGCCCGGGTAGCCCCTGGAAGCTGGGGAGCTCTGTCCACAGGGCAGCAAAGACCAGGGCCCTGCTCCCTGCAAGGGGAGGGTCAAGAACAAGGCAGAGAAGGCACCACATGCAGGGTGGGGTGGAGTTCCAAGCCCTGGGAGCGGGATGGCAGGGACAGATCAGGATGGCTGGGGCCAAAGCGAAGTGTGGGGCCTGGGAAATCTGCCACTTGGAGGCCAGGAGGAAGGGCACGGAGGCCACTGGTCATCGCTGGGCCACCAGTGGGAATTGGAGATGACAAGAAGGCCATTGGTCAGGCCTGAGATATCCACAATACAGGGCAGGACTGCACAAACACTGAACGTCCAACATACTGAAAATACATAAGGACCACACATACTATGCCTGGGAAGGTCTGAGACCAGGGAGTGCCACGAACCGGGTTCTGAACGCGGTCCCTTCTGAGGGCGTTGTGATGTTAGCAACACAAATTCTCTGGCCCCATGCTGCAGCCACTGAACTAGACTGAGGGTGGGGACCGGTGACTGGGCTGTCACAAGTGCTCCAGGTTATACTGATGCCTGAGGCCGAGAAGCTGGTGTGAGCGGGGCTGGGGGGGCTTAGGGGGCAGAGGCAGAGGAAGCCGGGCAGTCTGAGGTCAGCATAGAGGCAAAGAAACACACCCCTTTCCTCTTTACCCCGGTTTCTATCCATTTCTCTGTGTTTCCTTCAGTTTTTATTATTATTATTATTATTATTTTACTCCTTTGGGAGTTACACACACATTCTTTTATTTAAAAATTTCCTTTGAGTGTGAACTATTCCTACCAGTAATATTTATTATTGCCACCATGTTATGAGCTTGAAATCTTTTACACCATGGGATTCTCACCACAAGCCCACCAAGCTGGCACCAATACCGCCCCCATTTTACAGATGAGAAATTTGACATTTAGAGAGGAGATAATTTGCTTACGTCTCTACAGCTAGAGAGGACAGAATCAGACTTTATGTCTATACATGGGGCTTCTGAGATCTGAAATCCAAAATGCTCTAAAATCTGAACCTTACTGAGTGCTGACGTAACACCACGTCTGGAAACTTCCACCCTCACCTCATAGGGTTGGTTATAGTCAAAACACAGGCACAGTGAAAATACTATACGAAATACCTTCAGACTGTGTGTATAATGTGTATATGAAACAAATTAACTTCATGGGTACACTCGGGGTCCCATTCCTAAGACATCTCATGTGTATATAGGCACAGGTTCCAAAATCCAAAAAAGCCTAAAATCTGAAATCTGAAGCACTCCTGGCTGTCATCATTTGGGGTAAGGAGTAGTCCACCTGTAGTTTGTTCCACATGAGAACCACGCTTTCGCCGCCGTGGCACCGATACTTACACGGTAAAGCCACAGCGGTCTCAGCATTGTGTGGAAGAACCAGTAGGTGACGATGTCGGAACCCTTTTCTGCCTCTCGTCTGACCTCACACTTCCACACTCATGATTTTCCCTTTCTCAGCCTCCTCAGGCATTGGGGTGCCAGCCCTTGTTCACAGCTGCTTCACTGTTGCTCTTTCTCGATGCCCTGTCTTTCTGAAGGTTGGGAGGGGGGGTGTCTCTGCACAGAATGAAACCCAGGCTTTTAGCAGCCATGCTGGCAGAGGGGGAGCCAGTCACACTGAAGAGAAAGGATTATCCCAGTGCACCCTTTCCTGAAATTAGGAGTCAGCATCGGCTGCCCTACTTCCACCCCTTATACAGTAAGTGCTGTCCCTATTATCATGGATCCAACTTGCCTCTCTTCAAAAGGAGATCTAGAGGCAGAGAGCAAAGACATCATCCAGCCTTCGGGACCCCTTCCAAGTCCCTCCCAACACACAGTCTTGTTTTGCAATAGGAAATACATTTGCTCCTTGGGGATACACCCACCAGCATCATTGCTACAAACGTCAAAAGACTTGCTTACCGTCAAGCTGAAACTCAAAGGCATGACCTCAATTTCTGTAGCCGAACATTCTGGGTAATGAATCAGCCGTCAGGATCTGTTGGCTAAGAATTCCATCTGGTGTCCTGGGAAACCCCCTGCTGACCTCTGAGTCTCACTTTCCCTGCTAGGGAAGCAGCCGTAAGATTTCTCTTTTACCTAATAGGACTGCTTATTCATCTACTCAGTCATTCACTCAACAAACATTTGTGGAGACATGAAAGTACTTAGAAAAGGAAGGGGCACCAGAGAAACGGAAGGCTTTGACATGATTTACAAGAGCACCTGGTAGTCGTTAGCATTGTTGGGCAGACATTTCTGGCTCTCCGTCCTCCAGGCACTTGGCAACATTCCACTTTCCGGCTGCCCTTGTGGCTGGGTGGGCCACACCCCCATCGCTAACCAGCACGTGGTACCTTGTATGGCCATTATGTTAAGCTCTTTAAACACTCATAGAAAGAGCTTTAAACACATCAGTTTCAGGCTGGGGTACTTAATTGTTCGTTTGAACCCCTCCTCCCCAGAACTCCCTTGCCCTCTGCTGTGATCACTGGTGGGCTTTCAGACAGCAGCCCCTCTGTCAGCCCAAGTCTTATAGTGAGGAAAATGCTGAGACTGAGGTGACTGGCCATGGCATGTAGCACAAGCAGGAACAATGCTAGTGTTTTAAGACTTGGGGGTGCTTTGCTTCTATAGCATAACTTACTCTACCATGATTGGGACAACCAAATTGATCAGCCAATGAACTACATGATTGACAAGTAATTCCTGTGACTTTACTTTTTGTTTTCTTAGTGGTTGGCTAAGTGCAAGGTCATTTCTAAAGATGCAAGAGAATTCAGACAAAGGAATAACACCCAAGGTCATACTCAGATACTTTTTCAATCGCCTTATAAGGTAGGTTTATTTTTATAATTTCTCAATTTATTATTGCTATGCAATTATTTGTTTTTTCACGCTTTAACCCTATTTTGAAAGAACTTCTGAAGAAAAATAAATTGAAATAGTTTTCTCTCTTAAATACAGCAAACTTTTGCCAGTTTAAAATGGTTAAAATTCTATTATGACCAACAGCATGAAAATTGGTGGCTTCCACTGGGAAAAACATCTTTACTACTCAACTGATGAGAAGTAGATTACAATAAATACACTGTTAGATTTCCATGAAATTTATGTTCAACAGAAGTTGTTTGCCAGAAAATTAGTAGTAACTGGGTCCTGTAAATCAGGAGAGGAGCTGGCATCTCCTTTAGAAATGTGTGGGTGGGTGAAGCTGAAATTCCAGTGCTGGGGCAGGATATGGCGTCAGCACTAGCAGGGTTAGCAGGGATGGAAGACGACAGTCAACATTAATGGAGAAAAGGCAACTTCCACTCCTGTAATCCAACCCTTCGGTTTATCCATTTGCTAAACGGTGGTCACTCCTTGTTAGCCCATGTGGTCACAGAGTGGGAAGAGGCCTGTGGAAACAATCTTTGGGGCTAGGAAAATGGAGCTGGCAAGAGGGGACTCTGTCCTCTGCTGCGTTTGCGTGCTGGCTCCGTCACTAACAGCTGCGGGACGTTCAGTGTCACAGCATCTCTGTGCTTGAGCCTCTCATCTCTGTGAGAATAAAGTACACAGTGGCGCTTACTTCATAGACTGCTCTTATGTAATGGACTTGAAAAGCGCTTGACCTTGGCCCTCAACCTGTTGTTTACCTTTCACCTTTTCCTCTAATAGGTTAAGGATGAGGATAAGCCAAGGAATGGGTCTTTTTTTATTTCTTTCCCATGTTCTTTATGGTTTCTTCTAAGCTCTGTCAAACCTAGCCATTCTCCTGGGAAGGACATATTTTCATTCTTTCAACATTTTGGGGGTCAAGGACTGGGGTAGGCAGCCTGTTCTTCCCCAAGGTTTTCTGAGGAGAGGGCCTGTCCCACAGGGCAAATCCTCATGGTGCTAAATGCTCAGATGGGTTAGTCAGGGGCGGGGGTGAAGGATCCAAGGCATGGCAGGGCCTTCCTGGAAACCTACTTCTGGGGAAAGAGGAGGCTGGGACTGAGGAGTGAGAAGTGGTTTTCCAGGCACATGGAACAGTGGCGTGGCAGAAGGAACACCGGGTGGGATTGAGGTGCTGGTGAGGATTTGGGGGGCAAGGTGGAGGCAAGGACCCCAGAGTATCAACTTTTGTATAATCTGGGCAGGAAAGCAGAATTTTTGGGCTGGTGACTGGCAGTGGGGACAGCGAGAAAGTCCAGAACCAATGAGTTTTCTGACCTGGGCAACATGGTGATGATGGGGGCATTCTTGGAAACTCTGGAACAGCAGCAGATGAGAGTGGTTGCTAAGAAGAGAGGGAGTTCACAGTGGACACAACTTTGTTGAGAACTGGAACAGGATGGCCACAACCCCTCCGCAGTCTGACCTCACCCTCAGTAAGGCGACAAAACAGTCAGCTTCTGGCCATGTGGATGCTCTCATGCATGCTAGAAGACGCTGTTGCTACCAGCTTACGAGTTACTAGTATAAAAGGACACGGGGCAAAATCATTCGCTTGCTCACACCTTCTGAACTCACTGAGAGCCCATAACATGTCAACCCCTGGGGATTCAGTGTTTTATTCATTCTTAAAATTTTCACTTTTTTAAAGATTTATTTTTTATTTATTTGAAAGGCAGAGTTACAGAGAGAGAGAGGGAGAGAGGGAGACAGAGTGAGAGGAGATCTTCCGTCTGCTGGCTCACTCCCCAAATGGTCACTCAGCCAGGACTGGGCCAGGCTGAAGTCAAGAGCTAGGAGCTTCCTTCAGGTCTCCCATGTGAGTGCAGGGGCCCAAGGACTTGGGCCATCTTCTGTTTTTTCCCAGGCACACTAGCAGGGAGCTGGATTCGAAGTGGAGCAGCCAGAACTTGAACCGGCACTTACATGGGATCCCAGTGCAGCAGTATTTGTGTACCGAGACAAGGCACCAAGGCCTCTTAACAGAACGTAGTCTTTTATTATGATGGCATAGGGCCACAGGTGGAATTTCTTATGCAAAATCCTGAGCCCCAAACAAAGAAGGGTTTTTCCTTATATATGGTTTTAGCCTTTTTGTCTCTCTTATATGTTTACCTATATACATTTGATTGGATATTCTAACACTACTTGGCAGCCACAGGATTGATACAATACCTCACATGCCAACGCAGTTCACTGCAGAGATAGATTTTTATACACATACTGAAACGTCTGCTGTCCGGCAGGGGTTACCATCATCGCTCTGTACTAACAAGCAGAACCTGACATGGTTACCCAGGAGCAGGTAACTGCAGCTGAAGCATTCATAGGCAAGCAGATAACAACTACATTTCATTCTCAGAACAGACACCTCCCTTTTCTTTTTCTGATCTTGGGAAGGTTTTTACCACAGCTTGAATCAGTTAGAAACAAGCCTAATTAAAAGACAAAGGTCTGGGCTACGCTGGCATTGCAGGCACAGCTTAACTCATTTTGCCACAATGCCAACCCCAATTTCTACTTCTATTTGAAAGGCAGAGAGACCAAGACACAACTGCAAAGAGATCTTTCATTTGCTGGTTCATTTCCCAAGTGTCTGCAATAGCCAGGGCTGGGCAGGCCGAAGCCAGGAGCTGGGGGGCTCCATCCAGGTCCCCGTGTGTGTGGGGGGCTCCATCCAGGTCCCCATGTGTGTGTGTGTGTGGGGGGCTCCATCCAGGTCCCCGTGTGTGTGGGGGGCTCCATCCAGGTCCCCATGTGTGTGTGTGTGTGGGGGGCTCCATCCAGGTCCCCGTGTGTGTGTGTGTGTGTGTGTGGGTTCCATCCAGGTCCCCGTGTGTGTGTGGGCTCCATCCAGGTCCCCATGTGTGTGTGTGTGGGGGGGCTCCATCCAGGTCCCCGTGTGTGTGTGTGTGGGGGGCTCCATCCAGGTCCCCGTGTGTGTGTGTGTGTGTTTTGGGCTCCATCCAGGTCCCTGTGTGTGTGTGTGGGGGGGCTCCATCCAGGTACCCATGTGTGTGTGTGTGGGGGGGCTCCATCCAGGTCCCTGTGTGTGTGTGTGGGGGGGGGCTCCATCCAGGTCCCCGTGTGTGTGTGTGTGTGGGGGCTCATCCAGGTCCCCGTGTGTGTGTGTGTGGGGGGGGGGCTCCATCCAGGTTCCCGTGTGTGTGTGTGGGGGGGGCTCCATCCAGGTCCCCGTGTGTGTGTGTGGGGGGGCTCCATCCAGGTCCCCGTGTGTGTGTGTGTGTGGGGGGCTCCATCCAGGTCCCCGTGTGTATGTGTGTGGGGGGGCTCCATCCAGGTCCCGGTGTGTGTGTGTGTGTGGGGGCTCCATCCAGGTCCCCGTGTGTGTGTGTGTGGGGGGGCTCCATCCAGGTCCCTGTGTGTGTGTGTGTGTGGGGGGCTCCATCCAGGTCCGTGTGTGTGTGTGTGGGGGGCTCCATCCAGGTCCCCGTGTGTGTGTGTGTGTGGGGGGCTCCATCCAGGTCCCCGTGTATGTGGGGGGGGTTCCATCCAGGTCCCCGTGTGTGTGTGGGGGCTCCATCCAGGTCCCCATGTGTATGTGTGTGGGGGGGCTCCATCCAGGTCCCCGTGTGTGTGTGTGGGGGGGACTCCATCCAGGTCCCCGTGTGTGTGTGTGTGTGGGGGGACTCCATCCAGGTCCCCGTGTGTGTGTGTGTGGGGGGGTTCTATCCAGGTCCCCGTGTGTGTGTGTGGGGGGGCTCCATCCAGGTCCCCGTGTGTGTGTGGGGGCTCCATCCAGGTCCCCGTGTGTGTGTGTGGGGGGGGGGCTCCATCCAGGTCCCCGTGTGTGTGTGTGTGGGGGGCTCCATCCAGGTCCCCGTGTGTGTGTGTGTTTTGGGCTCCATCCAGGTCCCCGTGTGTGTGTGTGTGGGGGGGGCTCCATCCAGGTCCCCGTGTGTGTGTGTGTTTTGGGCTCCATCCAGGTCCCCGTGTGTGTGTGTGTGTGGGGGGTCTCCATCCAGGTCCCCGTGTGTGTGTGTGTGGGTTCCATCCAGGTCCCCGTGTGTGTGGGGGGTCTCCATCCAGGTCCCCGTGTGTGTGTGTGTGGGGGGGCTCCATCCAGGTCCCCGTGTGTGTGTGTGTGGGGCTCCATCCAGGTCCCCGTGTGTGTGTGTGGGGGGGCTCCATCCAGGTCCCCGTGTGTATGTGTGTGTGTGGGCTCCATCCAGGTCCCCGTGTGTGTGTGTGGGGGGGCTCTATCCAGGTCCCCGTGTGTGTGTGTGGGGGGGGGCTCCATCCAGGTCCGTGTGTATGTGTGTGGGGGGGCTCATCCAGGTCCCCGTATGTGTGTGTGGGGGGGCTCCATCCAGGTCCCCGTGTGTGTGTGTGGGGGGGGGCTCCATCCAGGTCCCCATGTGTGTGTGTTTTGGGCTCCATCCAGGTCCCCGTGTGTGTGTGTGTGTTTTGGGCTCCATCCAGGTCCCTGTGTGTGTGTGTGTGTGGGCTCCATCCAGGTCCCCGTGTGTGTGTGTGTGGTGCTCCATCCAGGTCCTCGTGTGTGTGTGTGTGGGGGCTCCATCCAGGTCCCCGTGTGTGTGTGTGTATGTGGGCTCCATCCAGGTCCCCGTGTGTGTGTGTGTGCGGGGGCTCCATCCAGGTCCCCGTGTTTGGGGGGGTCTCCATCCAGGTCCCTGTGTGTGTGTGTGGGGGGGGTCTCCATCCAGGTCCCCGTGTGTGTGTGGGGGCTCCATCCAGGTCCCCGTGTGTGTAGTGTAGACTTCAGTTACTTGAGTCTGAATCTGCTGCCTCTCAGGGGGGATTGGACTGGAGGAGCTGGGGCCGGAAGCAGGCACCCTGATGTGGAATGTGGGTATCCAGAGCAGAGACTTAATCCACCTGTAAGTGCCTGCCCCTTCCTATTTAAAATTAAAGAAAGACCAGCATTTTAATAAACCAGCAGAAGTGCCTTCCAGCATGCAGTTTCATTCTCATGAATCGAGGTAGACAGTGAAGAGGTAAATACGCAACATTTGGTTGCAGTGTCTAACACACGTCTGCAGCGGTGATGAGCACCATAAAGCGAGGGTTTGGAGAAGGAGGCGAGGCGGGTCTTCCTCTGGAAGGATAATCGGGACAGGAAGGAAGGAAGGAAGGAAGGAATGTCCCAAGCAAAGATCGGCGCACTCAGAGGAACTAGAGCACAAGGTGCTGATGGGGACTGGGGCTGCATTTGAAGAGCCCCAGAGACCACAGGTGCTCTGTGCTGCGCAGGGAGTAACACACAGAGCAAGAGGTGATGAAGTCCCATGGCCATGGGTAGTGGAGAGACTGCAAGGGAGCAGTGGCCAAAGTCGGGAGGCCAACGAGAGCTGCTGCAAGTTCTAAGAAAACCCAAAGCCCAAACTTCTAGGGGTGAATCCACAGGGGTGATCTTAACAGAGTAAGTGCTGCAGCACCCTGGATAGCTCAGATGATGGGTGCACCTCGCAGGCTCACTTCTCACAGGACACTGTTGCTAGTTCTTACACAAACCTCCTCTGTATTTAAAAGCATTGCCCACCAGCACCACAAGGTGGCACTCTGCTGCACCGCTCCCACCTGACTTTCAGGGAATGATATAACCTGGGACTCTCCTCCATTCGCAGACAAGGGCCCACCTCGCCAATTACCAGAAGTTACCACCAGGTACCTGACCAGTCACTGTTAACAGGCACAGAGTGGCCAGCACCGCGGCTCACTAGGCTAATCCTCCGCCTGTGGGGCCGGCACACCAGGTTCTAGTCCCTGTCGGGGCGCCGGATTCTGTCCTGGTTGCCCCTCTTCCAGGCCAGCTCTCTGCTGTGGCCGGGAAGGCAGTGGAAGATGGCCCAAGTGCTTGGGCCCTGCACCCTCATGGGAGACCAGGAGAAGCACCTGGCTCCTGGCTTCGGATCAGTGCGGTGCGCTGGCCACAGAGGCCATTGGGGGGGTGAACCAATGGCAAAGGAAGACCTTTCTATCTGTCTCTCTTTCACTGTCCACTCTGTCAAAAAAAAAAAAAAAAAAACAGGCACAGAGGTGATTTCGCAGGTTTTGTTGTCATCTTAAACAATGACACAATGTATCATTTATTTGTGGGAATATGGCACTAAAATGTAAGTTTATCTTTGTGTAAATGTTTTTTGGAATCTGTGCCTAGTTGTTTAATAATATGCATTAGCCATGACCCTTCTGAAGACCCCTGGTACGTGTATTTCTGTGCACCTGCACGGTGTGTTTATGGGGTAAATTCCTGCCAGTAGAGTTGTGGTCTATGTGTCTACCATTTGGAGGTGCTCTGAGGACGCCTGCTGTGTCCTACTTGAGCGAAAACGATGCTGAATTTTAAAACGTATTCCTTGAAGAAAGGGCGCTGACTTCGGTCCACTCAGAATCCATGCCAGAATCTTAAGCCGCTCCGGGCCACACCCTGCGCTGTCCAGGAAGCCGTCAGATGTAAGCAGCCAGGGAGTGAGCTATAGGCTGGCTCTGGAGGCCTAGCAAAAGAAAAAGAAAACAAAGCAACAGCTCGTTCATCATTTTTCTGGGGGCCCGTGTTGTGGTGCTCAGGATTAAGCTGCCACTTGGGTGGAGGTGTCCCATAGCAGAGTGCTGGCTTGAGTCCTGGCTGCTCTGCTTCCTGCTGATGTGCCTGGGAAGGCAGTGGTTGATGGCTCAGGTGCGTGGGCCCCTGCCACCCAAGTGGGAGACCAGGATAACTCCCAGCTTTGGTCTGGCCCAGCCCTGGCCATGTGGCCATTTGGGGAGTGAACCAGCAGATGGAAGACCTTTCTCTCTCCCCCTATCACTCCATGTGCTACATTTCAAATAAAAAAATAAATCTTTGAAAATAATTTTTATATTGTTTACTTATCTAAAGTGGTCATATTTGGGATATATTGGGCTAAATAAATATTAAAATGGGTCTTTTTTTTTTTTTTTTAAATGTGGCTAATGGGGCCAGTGTTGTGGTGAAGTGGGTAAAGCCGCTGCCTGCAATGTCAGCATACCATATGGGCACCAGTTCATGTCCCAGCTGCTCCACTTCCAATCCAGCTAATGGCCTAGGAAAAGCAGCAGAACATGGCCCAAGTGTCTGGGCTCCTGCCACCCATGCAATAGACCCAGAAGAAGTTCCTGGCTCCTGGCTTTGGCCTTGCCCAGCTCTGCTTGATGTAGCCATCTGGGGAGTGAAACAGAAGATGGAGGATCTCTCTTTCTCCCCACCCCTCCCATATCTCTGACTTTTAAGTAAATGAATCTTTTTTAAAAAAATATATGGATAGTAGAAAACATAACACAGGTGGCACCAGCCCAGGCACTGTGCACCTCTCCTATCATCCCTGTGGCTGTTTACTGTGCTACTTGGAAGGAGGTGGGGTCTGAAGGAAAGAGGAAGCAGTAAGACAAGGGAGGGAGGGAGGGAGAGGGGTTGGTTTTCACCTGTGAAGCCACGTGGAAAGAACTGATGTGGATCTGAGCACCGCTGTGGGGCTGGATGACCTCGTGCAAGTCACCCCAGCTTCCCTGACCTGCACTCTCCTCTTCAGTAAGATGGGGACAAAGCCTGCTGACAGGACGACTTCAGGGTTTAGAAATAGCCCAAAAGCTTCTAACACAGTAGCTCCCGCGCAGCCACCTGCGGCATCGCCCTGTCTTCGTTAACGACAAACCACATAGGGGACGTGGTCCCACATAAAGACGAAGGGGCTGAAAATTTCCCATCACAGACGGACGTAGCCTCCGTAACACAGCACAGTGCAAGGCTCCTTGTGCCGAGGCTGGTATGAACAGTCTGTTCAGACACACATGTACCACGGTGTTGGGACTGCTTACCTAGAATGTCCCATAGAGCAGCAAGCAGCACGGGTCTGTAGCGTAGGAGCCTAAGGCCGTACCCGCTAGGTTCATGGTAGGGCTCTCTACGCTGTTCACACAAAGATGAAATTGCCCTAAGAAGCATTGCTGGCCGGCGCCGTGGCTCACTAGGCTAATCCTCCGCTTTGCGGCGCCGGCACACCGGGTTCTAGTCCCGGTCGGGGCGCCGGATTCTGTCCCGGTTGCCCCTCTTCCAGGCCAGCTCTCTGCTGTGGCCCGGGAGTGCAGAGGAGGATGGCCCAAGTGCTTGGGCCCTGCACCCCATGGGAGACCAGGAGAAGCACCTGGCTCCTGCCATCGGATCAGCGTGGTGCGCCAGCCACAGCGCGCCGGCCGTGGCAGCCATTGGAGGGTGAACCAATGGCAAAGGAAGACCTTTCTCTCTGTCTCTCTCTCTCACTGTCCACTCTGCCTGTCAAAAAACAAACAAACAAACAAACAAAAACAACATTGCTGAGTGTATCTGGCTGCTTACTGGAGCGTGACTATATATGGCCTGCTCAACAGGTAACATGTCTTCACCAGCAGCACCTGAGCCCACACATGAATGACCTTGACCACACGTGCTGGAGGAGGGGGTGGGAGCTACTGCCACCACGCTGGTCCGTTTCAGAGCATCCCGCCCCCGGCTGCCCCACACCCACCGGTGTGCACCCATGTGGCCCCTGGTGCACATCGGCTTCGCTCTCCGGCTCTTTCCTGCTAGGCTGCAGCCTCTTCACATGTACTCAGTGTGCCTGCTGGGTGGACTGTTCGCTCTTGTCCCCTGGGGACCTGTCTGGGAAGTGCCCAAGTTCCACTGGGATAACTGCCGGCAAGCGTGGTGGACGAATCTGCTGTTGCTGAACAACTTCCTGTTGGTTGGGAACGCGGTGAGTCCTGCACTGCTGGCTTGGGGAAGATGGGGGCGCAAAGGGCTTCTCCAAGGCCAAGCTGAGCCTGACCCCCACTCTCCTGGCTTACTCTCTGGAGGAACAGTGTGTGGCAGGAAGGGGGTTGTGGGTGGAGCCAGGCCTTGGTCCTAAACTCCTCTTCACTCAGAGCTGGGACTGGGGACGAGCAAGGGAAAGGAGGCAATGCTGACCCCAATTCCCCCCGCCCCCCAACGGCAGGACAGTACCAGCCCCTCATGTTCCTGTGGCATGGTGGGCACGGTGCCCACAAGTGTCCCAGGACGTAGGCCAGTACCATTTTTTTTTTTTAAACAAAAGTCTGACTCTCCATCTTTAAAATGTCAAAAACAATAATGGCCACCCTCCAGGCCCGTTACGTGCACTGACGAGATGAGGGATGGGAGTCGTCTCTCAGCTCCCATGGGAATCCCCCTGCCCAGCTACCGGAGTCTCCCCTCCAGTCCAGGCAGGCAGGCCTGGAGCAGACGGGGTGCAGGAAGCTGAGGACGGGGCCTTCACTCTTCCCTCTGCAGTGCAACGGCTGGACGTGGTACCTGGCCGACGACTTCCAGTTCCATCTCCTGACACCGCTGATCGTCTTCCTCCATGGAAAGTGAGTCTCGGTGCCCCAAGCTTTCCCCTTGGGAGGCCCTTCGGGGCCCTCTCAGGGACGGCTCCAGCTCTGTGGAAGCCAGCTTTCTACAGTTTAGGCAATTGAGTTTTTTTTAGAAAAGTAAACACTGGATTCTCTCCTGTCTCTTTTCTTCCACATTCTCTTCCAGTCCTGGCCTGCGCAAGTCGGTGATTGTGCAGAGTTACAGTCGGTGTGTTTGTGATAGCTGGTGTGCATTTTCCTGCTGTTCCTACGTACATTTCCACACATGGCCACGACCTGTACACCTGCCATTTTCACGGGTGGGCATTCCAACCGTATCCAGCTTTCCATGATCAGGTGGCGCTGCAATGGGTGCCTTCATGGAGAACACGCGTGTTCTCGTAGTTGTGTCTCCAGGGGCCTGTTTCTGGGTGGGATGAGCAGGTCAGAGGGCTGGCAGGGAGCTGGGGTGCTTGTTCTGTGTTGGGATCGCTCTCCGGGAAGACCGCGCTGTCTGCCACGCAAGAACACTGCGCCCGTGAGTCTGCTTTCTCATACTGCGTATCTGTCTCCCTCACTTTGTTAGTTCTAGAGATGTTTTAAGGCCTCAGTCATTCAGGTGGGACTTAGAGGTGGTGGGTTATGCAGGACATGTTTTTAAGAATTGAGGATTCCTGTTTGTTAAAATACATGTTCCGTTTAAGACATACTGGAAAAGAGTCTGGCCAAGAGAGGGAAAGGCAGGCACCCCAGTCCCATCCCCCACTCCCAGCAGGGTGGGCCCTGTTCACGTGGGAGTGCCTGTCCTTCCGACATCTGTCCTGCCCAGCTTTTTAAACATGGAAGCATTCTGCCTGTAGCTGCACTTCAGGGCCTTTCTCTGAATGGTCTGTGACATGCTCATCTCCCTAGAGTAAGCAGACATAATGATAACGTCGGGATAACACTGCATTCCCCGAATGAGCTACAGTTTACTTACACCTTCTTCCCCTGTTCAGGACTTGGATTATTTCCAATTTTATGCTTTCATCAATATTGGTCTGGTCAATGTTGTCATGGGAACCACTCATCTCTGCTCATTCTTTAGTATGCGTGTCCTTGAGAAGAATTACTGGGTCAAAGGGTGTGAATGTCTTGCGATTCTGAATCACAGTGATACATTATGCATTTTTTTTTTTTTTAAACTGAGAAGCCTGCGGGTGACATTTTCTCTGCGCCACTGCAGATCTCTTTAGTCCCAACCCTCACTGTGCTGAGCAGTGCCTGGCTCTGAGCCTGAGTCCTCCAATCTCTCTTCCTGCCCTAGCACCTTCTCAGTATTTTGGGGACCTTCCTGGACCCATGCACAACCCCAAAGTGTGGTGGAATTAAATATGTGTAGGGCCTCCCATGACCTACGGGGGATAGGAGATAGTGGGAAAATGCTTCTCTCCATGATTCCTCAGGACAGTTTTGAGGTACATTTCACAAAGCTCCATAGAGCATTCCAGAATTGAGCCTTGGCCATCATCTGTGTGTTGACTTCCCCTGCCTCCCTGTTCCACTGCTCTTCTCTTGTTCCTCCTTCCCTGTGAATGAGCTGCATCAGCTGACTCAGGCCCAGCTCCGGTGTGTGCCTGGCGAACACCGGGCTCGCCCTCTGCTCCCACCCTCCGTCCTCTGAGCCTGGAGTGGATGCGAGTCTGCCCTGTGTCCCACCCTGTCTCTGACACTTCACCTCCTTCTCTCCCTAAATCAGTCAGCACCTATGTCCACGTCCTAAGTGGTGACCCAGGGCTTCCCCAAGGAGGGTCTTATGCTGAGCTGCACAGTAAACTTTGGGGGTGGCAGGCAAGGATGTTGTTGCCATCGCTGGGTAGGGAGGAGACTGGAGTTAAGGTCTATCTGGGTCGTGCAGCTAGTAAGCGGTCAGGGAGCCCAACCCCAGCACAGATCCCCTTGACTCCATGACAGCTGCCTCCCTCCCCTGCCATCAGAAGCCGGGGCAGCTGTCACAGGCCACAGATGTGGTGGCGAAGAGGCTTGCAAGCCCTCCAGCTGCATCTCCTCTTGTTTGCAGGAGTAGACTGGTCCTTGGCCTCCTCGGCGCGGGGCTGTTCTTGGCATCTTTCACGGCCAGTGCCCTGCTCACACTGGCTCATAAGCTCCCGGTGGCGTCTCCATCAGCAGCCAGGTACGGCGGTTCCCCCTCCCCTTCTCTGCCTCTGGCCTGCCCTCTACCCCAGGCCAGGACCTCCCAGGAAGGCTTACTGAGCTCCAGGCTGCTTGCACTGTGCACCTCGATTCGTGCAAACACTGGGCGGGACCCTGTCGTTCTGGATGGCAGAGTAGACTGCCTATTTGCTCCCAAACTGCTGAACCTTTCAACTTGCATTGGGGGTGCTATGGGGACTCAAATGCCGCCCGTGGAAACACTTCTCAGAGGAAGGGGGCGCCCCCGCGTGGCTGTCCTGTGTTCTGCAGCTCGGAGGAGCTATTGTTGGCGAGGCTGAAATGTAAGGAAGCCAGGTTGCCTCACTGCAGTAGGTGGCCAAAGTGGGACTTGAAGCTAGGGTCTCGCCCACAGTGCTGTTCTGCCTTCACGTCAAGGTATGTGTGGGTGATCTTTCTTTACAAGGAAAGCAGGCCCCTAGTACTCAGTATCCATTTGAGAGTGGGTAGAATGTGAAAGCAAATGAATGCATGGGTGAGCTCAGGAAAGCACCGTGCCCTTCCCACTGTGTGCCATCCGCCTCTGTGCAGAGGTGTGCTCCTGTCTGACCCGGTGGCTCTCAACCCCAGGATGCACAACAGAGACCCCTGGGAGCACTCGATCCTTTAGGTCCCGCCTAGGACCAAGTGAATGGGAAGTGCTCAGGGCAGGGCCCTGGCACCCAACTTTTGTGGGCACCCCTGGCGCATCCTGATGTGCAGAGTCAAGAACTCTCCCCACGCCAACAGCCCCTGTGCAGACAGTTAGGGGCCTCTGAGATGACAGGCCTTGTAGCTTTGGTGGGGACAGGGATGCATTTAAAGCAGGGATCTCAAGCCACACTGCACTTGGAAGCCCAGGAGAGCTTTCCAAATCCTGAGCCCTGGACCCCACCCCAGAGATTCTGACTCCGGGGCCTGGGTATAAGCTGGACATCTCCTGTGGAGGAGCACCTGGAGGGCTTGTTAGGTACCCAAGGCTGGGTCGTGGACACAAACGAGGGTCGCTAGGACACAAACCCAGAGGTTCCTGTGCAGGGGAGCCAGGCAGAGGCGTGGACTTCGGTTCCAAATAGGTTCTCAGGTGATGCCCCGGGTGGTGTTGACAGCTGCATTTGAAAACCCCATCCTTGCAAGGGGGCCCACTCAGAATTTCTCTCTCAAGACAGTCGCTGGCCTTGGGAGCCTTGGGGTCACTTTGGGGACCACACTTGGAGAGTTCTCTTGGCTGTATCAGCCACCAGCAACAGCCACAGCTGTGCACGCATTGCTGACCAAGGGGCTATGTTTTGAGAAGTGCAGCGTCAGGTGATTTTGCTGTGGAAACATCAGTGTATTTATGCAAAAATAAGATGCCTACAAACTGAAGAGGCAACACGATTTTATGTATATGAGGGTTCTTGGAGGGAACATTAAGAGAAGCTTATTTTCTTGCAAAAATTGTGAAATCCATGCAGTGATTTTTTTTTCCACAACGTGCATTTTACACGAACTTTTTGAAGCTCCCTCCTATGCAGTCTGTTGTTGACTGGAAGCCAGCGTGTAACACAGGCATCATAATTTTTTTTTTTTTGACAGGCAGAGTGGACAGTGAGAGAGAGAGACAGAGAGAAAGGTCTTCCTTTTGCCGTTGGTTCACCCTCCAATGGCCGCCATGGCCGGCACGCTGTGGCCGGCGCACTGCGCTGATCTGAAGGCAGCAGCCAGGTGCTTATCCTGGTCTCCCATGGGGTGCAGGGCCCAAGCACTTGGGCTATCCTCCACTACCCTCCCTGGCCATAGCAGAGAGCTGGCCTGGAAGAGGGGCAACCGGGACAGAATCCGGCGCCCCGACTAGGACTAGAACCCTGTATGCCGGCACCGCTAGGCGGAGGATTAGCCTATTGAGCCGTGGCGCTGGCCAGGCATCACAATATTTTGAGATCTGGAGGGGCTCAGGGGCACCTGGAACGTGAACAAGCCAGCCGTGGCCATGAGGTTCCTGTCTGTGGGTCGTTACAGAGGGAACGGACACATGTGCCCCGGAGCCACCTTTGGGTTGGCCAGTGCTGCAGGGGACGCCTGAGGGTGTCCTCCCTGGTCCCTTCTGCATAACCTCCTGTGTGTTTCAGTGAAGACGTGGCTGTGCTGTACTTCCTGCAGTACTACACCAAGCCCTACTGCCGGCTGGGGCCCTTCCTCCTGGGTCTCTTCCTGAGCATTTTCATGCACCAAAACCACCAGGCGAACATTCTCCGAAGCAAGGTACTGTTTCCCAGGCTTCCCTGGAAGAGTGCGGGTCTGGCTGGGCCAGGTGGGGACCATCTGGCCCGGCCCTTCCAAGGCCACGAGCAGGAGGGGTCAGACTGCTGGGTACTGCACTGTGTTGCACGTGCCGAGAAGTCTGTCCATGATAAACGAGAGGAGGGCTTGGTCTCTGCGGCGCCTCATTCTCTGCTTTCTTAGCTTCAAGAAGAAGGTAGAGACTCAGGGCCCAGTGGGGTCCCACCCCCCAGTGCCTTGGTGCGGATCCAAAGAAACCACCGATGTGGAAATCAGTGAGCTTACTATGCCAGCACCCTCTTCCGGAAGAGGGTATTGAGTTGGGCTGGGTTTCCAACAGCACAGGCTCCATGATTTCAATAGAGGGTTCTTGGTCAGATTTCCATCTGGGAATCAAGACATGAGGCACCTCGTGAGGCAGAGCAGAGAAGATGCTATTTAGCCTTCCAGGTGGGCCCTGGGCATTCCTTTCCTCCCCTGGTTCCTCGGTGGCCAGTCTGGAGGCTCTGAGGCGCACCATACAACCTCCCCACTCAAGCAGGAATCCCGGGTGCACGTGGACGCCTCCATCTCGCTGCCCAGTTGTCCACTGAGTCCTGCTGCTTACTGTTCCTGCTGTCCTCTCTTACCCTCTCTCTCTGCTGGTGAAGTTCTTCTAATCTCTTGCCTGGATTTCTGCTCAGTTTCTTGCCTCCAGTCTTGTGGATCCCCAGAGCACTGTAAATACCACCTTGGCCATGATCTTGAACTGTGCAAAACCTTTGAATGGCTTCCTCTGGCCCCAGGAGAAAGGCTGATCTGCTCAGCTGGGCCCTCAGGGTCTCCGGGACCCAGCTCTGCCTGCTTCCCCAGCATCGTCTGTCTTGCCACTCTCTGCCTGGCACTTGGCATGGCAGTGATAATGAGCTGCTCGTCGTGACCCCTCCCCGTGCTATTCCTGGCACCTGTGTGGTTTCTCATGCTTCCTTCCCTGCCTGGAACGTGCCTCTCCACTTTTCAATGCATCTTTCCTTTCACCTGACTTTACCTCCTCTTTAGACCCCCAGGTCTTCCTCATTGCTGCAGGGTGGTGAGCTGTGTCGCTCCTGGCGTTCCTCTGTGCACTGCACACTCTGCACCCTAGTCACATGCTAGTGCATTGATCTGCCCTGTAGACTGCGAGCCCCTGAAAGGCACACTATGTCTCACTCAACTCTGCATCCTCGGCATCTGAGATCCTGACCCACTGCAGACACTCAGTCAATGAACAAATGAATGACAGATAATTTACTTCTCAATGGGAGAAGGGCCAAGAGTCCCCTTGCACTAGTAGGACACAAACCCCTGCCCCTGCTAGGCCCTGCCTTTGTTTGCCCAGGCTTTGCAGGTGCCTTGGAGAAGAGTCCCTCATCTTTGGAAAATCTTGTGTTAGGAGCGGAACAGAATATAGGACTTAACTGGAGGAAGCAGATCTGCAGGGGCTATGTGACTTTTCCGATAGGTTGGAGTTCTATTTCCCTGGCAATTGCACTGTTTGGGTGTGGCCTGTAAGAGTGCTGGGAAGTAGATGGTCCGGTACCGTCCAGGTTGTGTGGGGTCCCAGGGAGACAACGGGTGTGAGTAAAGGGGCGGAGCTAAGATGAAGAGGGAGCATTTGAGAACCACTTCAAGGGCAGGGTCAGGACCACGAGCCCAGTGGACTACGGAAGGTTGGGTAGGTCAGACTAAATCCTGTAGAAGCTAAATACACAAGGACGCAGAATCCAAGCTAGAGGAAGCTGGCCATGTGCCACAGGCTAGGAATAAGATAAGAAAGAGTACATACAAGTTAGGAGAGGCAGACTAGGACGGAAAAGGAACACAGTACCCAGGGTGCACTGGGAGAGACTGCAGGCCTGTGCAGGTTGAAGAATTGGCAAAGGATGAAGGGGGTCCTAGGCCAAACAAGTGGAGAGGCCAGAGGTAGCCCCTTTTCCCCGCCACTCCCACCAGAAACTAGGGCAGGGCCCTAAGACCCAAGCAGGCCTCTGAGACAAGGTGATGGCACAGCTGGTTCAGTAAGTGTAGACATCACCGCAGCTGCCAAGAAAAACAATACGGAGAAGAGAGTGCCTTGGAAGACAAAGACGGGTCTTCTGAGTAAGGTGGTGCAAGATCTAAGATCTTAAACGGTGCCAAGGATTCAGATTTAACTCGTGGAGCTCTTCTCGGAGCTGAAAGCATCTCCATTCTGCTGTGCCTCTCACCGCTGCGTGTGCCTGGTGTCGCCCAGGAAGGGGGCTGTGCTGTTGGCACCCGCATTCAGGGTAGGAGCGAACATAAGGGTTAAGAGATGAAGTGGGAGGTTAGGGGCCGTGTAAGTGGGTACAGAGCACTACCTCACTTATTTATTTTAAAGCTTTAAAAATGTATTTTCGTTCTCATTTTGAAATGATCACAGACTTACAGGCAGTTGCAAGAACAGCACAGAGAAGTCTCGTATGCCCCTCACTCAGCCGCCCCGCCCTGGGAACCCACGGCCTAACCACAGCACATTAGCACAGCAGGGCGCCGACTGTGGCACAGTCAGACCTTAGACAGCTCCAGCTGTACGTGCACTCACTGGTGCGTGTGTGTGGTCTGAGAGGTTCTGTCACGTGTGCAGACGGGTGTAACCATGATGACAGGATCAAACTCCTTCCATGGTGACACACACCCCCCCCCCCCCTTCCCCTTTGCCCCAGCCCTTGGTAACTGCTAAGCGGAGCCTTTGTTTTAGTCCTCTCTGTGCAGTGACTGGGGTTTATAACCGAGCCCTGAGTGACAGCACTAATACTGCGGAAGGAGACTGCGCACAAGCAGGTAAGTACGCGGTGGCTAAGTGGCTGCGAACCGCTCTCTCCCCCTGCAGGCGCAGGCCCTGCTGGGGTGGACGTGCTCCCTGCTCACCCTGCTTGCCGTGGTCGCTCTGGCGTACGCAGTGGATGACACCCCTGCTGCCCCTGCGGTGGCCACTGCTCTCTACCAGGCCCTCCACCGGACCCTGTGGGCAGCGGCCGTGGCCTGGGTCATTTTTGCCTGCCAGGAAGGCTATGGAGGTAGGAGGGGCTTGAGCAGGGCTCTGCTCTTGGGTGCATTCACTACGGGGCTCACATACTAGTCCTGTAAAGGCCACACGCTGATACCACAGAGTGTACCCAGGTGGGCCTCTGTTTGCTGGGGTGGTTGAGGAATGCCTGCTATTTCCTCAAAAACATCATTTTGCTTAAATCCTGGGAGAAAACACCCCACGTGCTGTTTTACATCGTTACACTGGCGTACGTACAAATGCGGTCGTCTTCTCTCCAGTGAGGCTAGTTTAGAAGCTAGGAGACAACGAGGCAGGGTTGCAGAGAGAAAGAAATGCCAGTGGCAGCCAAGACCTCTCATCACATCCACCGTGGGCCTTGGATTTCTTATCTGAGGGTATTCATTAGAGTAGGTACTCGCCAGCATCCCTTCTGAGAACTGGGCGACTACGAATAAAGGACTTTCATGGAAAGAAAGGAACCCTCTCCAGGGAACAAGTGTGCATGCAAGCCCTGTGGCGTTTCCCTCTCCTTCTTCTCTGTTGGCGTAACTGCGCACGAGGGGTGTGTCAGCAAATGGCAGGGCCAAGGCTGGAGGGAACAACCAGAGGCCCTGCAGCTGTGAGCCAGCGCCAGGCAGGTCCTGACAAGGCCATACTCTGGGGAGGTAATGCGGATGGGTTCAGACGTAGTCCGTGAACCCAAATCAGTTGGCCTCGGCCAAGGTGGCTGAGTAGTGCCTGCCGGTGCCGCGACTCCCAGAAGGTCCCACAGCTGGCAGGTGACCCAGGACCACGTCCAAGTCCAAAGCAGAGGCTCATTTCTGAGCACTACTCCCCTCTTGGATGTTGATTAAAATTCACCTTGAGTTTTAGGAGCTCTTTAGTGTAACGAGTGACTTGTTCTTTAACAATTTTAACGGCTTTCCCTTGCTGGAGAAAGTGGTGTTGAAGAGGAAACAGGCTGCATTCTCTCTGCCTGATCAATCTGCATTTATGGGAAACTTCTGATCCCAGGACCACAACCCTAATGCCCCCCTACACCTGTGACAATGTCCTTGCGCTATGGACAGAGCCTCAGAACACAGACAATTATCAATGCCCCTGCCCCGACACAGGCAAGCATCCCAGGTTCTGTCTGAGTGGGAAGTCCTGCCAGCAGCAGGAGTACCTGACCCGTGTCAGTAGTGAGGAGAGAAGGATAGCTCAGGCTCAGCTGGAAGATGTAACTGGGCCGAATTCTCACTGCCGGGAACTAGCAAATGCTGTCAGTCATTCACCCGAGTCAGGGCGATGTCTCTTCATCTAGCTGATGAACAAGTCCCTCCTCCAACTCAACACCTATAAATGTGCTGTTTCATCCATGTGTACACTGTGTAAAGTTCAAATCAGGGTAAGCTTATCTATCGCTCCTCAATCATTGCTTTAGTTTTTTCCTGAGCCACTCATCCTTCAGAGATGTTGTCATCAGCAAACCCACGATCGCAGGTACAACCATCTCTATCAATAGGATGCCAAGATGGGTTTCTAAGTGAACGTGGGAGGTGATCGTTTCAATGCACTTTAGCAAGTATGTCCTCTGCCTGATGACCTCCGAGAACACATAAGGAAATCTGAAGAAGTGTTTAACTGAGACTCTGAGGACAAGAAAGGATCTGGGTAGTTCAAGCAATCTTTTCAGCCATCTTTGGCTGTACCCACGTAGCCCATGCTGGTCTGATTACACCCAAGGCCGCCTCTGGTTCAGTTTGCCATGCCAAGGAAGTAGACCTGACTGTCACCACAATATTAGCCCTTCCCTCTCATTATCATGCTCCTGCAATGGAGAGAGTATTTTCATAATTCTCTTTAAAGTTACAACACGCAAAGATCTTAGGAAAAATTCACAGACAGGTGCAGAACACAAAGGGGTACTGAAGACCTGGTTCTTGGTTCTTGGTTCTTGGTCAGTCCAGAGAGGGCTGCGGCTCTGTGAATCCCCGTCCTCTCCCTCCAGGTCCGGTGACCCGGGTGCTTTCTTGTGATGTCTGGAGCTTCCTGGCCAGCATCAGTTACGCCTGCTACTTGGTGCATCCGATTCTGATCCTCCTCTACAACGGCCTGCAGGAAACACTCATTCACTACACCGACACCAACATGGTGAGTTCACGCCCAAGTCTCTTCTGGAACAAGACACTGCTCTGTTTGCCGTGCTGGAAGGCTGTTTCGGTTTTTATTTTAAAGAGACTTCTCATTCTCTGTTTAATCTGGGTCGGAGGAAGGTGTCTTTATTACTATTTGTTCTATAGACACTGCACACGCGATGGCAGTGCACGCTGAGTTCAGGATGGCACAGGAATCGCAGAGTAAGACCGTCCACTGTGCTGCTCTTTCCCTCCAGTTCTACCTCTTCTGTGGACATTGTGTGCTGACTTTCCTCGCTGGGCTGGCCCTGACGCTGTCCATCGAGAAGCCATTTCAGCAACTGATGCGCCATCTGTGAAGTCGGCACCTGCGGTGCCACCAGCGTCCTGTTAAAACCTGAAAGACTGGCTGCCCCGTCGCTCCTGGGGTTGCGCACAGGCAGAGGTAGCTTTGTTTGTGTCGCTGAGTCACAGGTCTGATTTAATGCATGCAAGTTCTCCAGGTGTCCCATGAAAAGATTCCATCACAATATCTTTCAGTAGCACAAGCACTCCCGTTGTGCCTTTTAGCAAAAAGATCTAGTTGTTGTTGTGTTTTTTTTTTTCCCGTCGTGGCTTGTATTTTGATTTTCTCTATCAATGATCATCATAGTGATAAATTAAACTGGGGATCCGGCCTGAAGAATGCCCAAGCAGACAAAACCAGACAGACCTCACAAGTGATCTTTACCTTGCTTGATTTGCAGATAGAAGCATAACTTAAGGTGAGCTATTTCTTGAAAATGCCTTTATTCAAGAAAAAACAGAACTTAAGTGCAACCAATCAAAAGCAGCCAACACATTTATAATTACATAACTAGGGACTTTCCAACAAGATAAGTCAAATCAACCATGTAGCCATCACTAATCTTTGTTTTCTTTCTAACTGCTTTGTTTCCTTTCTGTCTGTCCTGTCAAAGCCTCCCCTTGCATTGCCTCAGTGCAGAACCTGAGTCACTTCTGATTCCCACACACCTGATTCATGAATCACTGATTGTTCAAATAAACTTCAAATTCCATTGTGCCTCAGTGTACTTCTTAATAACAGTGAATGATCAAATGTAGCAAATCTGATGTCGTTTTGATTATGAAACTCACTTGGGTTATACTGCCTGCTTCTCTTTTAAAAGATTTATTTATTTGAAAAGCAGAGTTACACACACACACACACACACGAGAGAGAGAGAGAGAGAGAGAGAGAGAGAGAATGAATACCTTCCATCTGCTGGTTCACTCCCCAGATGGTTGTAACAGCCAATCTGAAGCCAGCAGCCAGGAGCTTCTTTCAGGACTCCCACGTGGGTGCAGGGCCCCATGGACTTGGGTCATCCTCTACTGCTTTCCCAGATGCATTAGTGGGGAGCTGGATCAGATGTGGGACAACCAGGTCTTGTACCGGGGTCCACATGGAACACCACTGCCATGTGGGTAACACAGGTTACCCACTATACCATAGTACCGGCCCCTATTATCTGCTTTTCTCAGTAAGATCACATGTTCCTAATGTTAATTATTTGTGGGTTATTCTGATACTATTTGTAGACCTGTAGCTTTCTTCCGAGGCCTCAGGGCAGCATGATCCACGCACACACACAGTTCATGAGTTTGCTACCACATGTCTTTCCAACATTATCTTTTCTACAACATGGCTCCCTGGACAGGTTGAAGACCTGACTCTGAGGCCCTCCAGCGGTAGCCTTATTTGGAGATGGAGTCTACACAGTCTTTATATATAAATTAAATTTACATGAGGTCACCGGGGCAGGACAGCTTAATTGACCACAATGGTGTCCTTGTAAAAAGAGGGACTTGGGACAAAGAGATTAAAATCCACGGGGAAGACAACGTGACAATACACCAGGAGAAGATGGCCACCTACCAGCAGGGAACCCCGAGGACTGCACTGGAGGCTGCAAGAGGCGAGGAAGGTGCCTTCCCTAGAGCCAGAGAGAGGGCAGCCCTGCCAGCACCTTCATTTCCGACTTCTGGCCTCCGGAGTTGGGAGACCGCATGTCGCTGATGTTCTCGTGATATTTTAAAAATTTTCATTTATTTATTTGCAAGGCAGACACAGAGATGGAAGGAGAGAGAGAGAGAGAGAGAGAGATCTCTTCCAATGGCTAATACCCCAAATGACCATAACGTCCAGGGCTGGGCAGTCAAGAATACAATGCAGGTTTCTCACGTGGGTGGCAGGAACCCAACCAGCTGAGCTATCAGCGCAGCCTCTCAGGGTCTGCGTTAGCAAGGAAGACGGAGACAGGAGCCCGAGAGGGGTCAATCCCAGACGCTCCGAATTGGTATGTGCGCATCTTACCTGGTATCTTAACTGCTGGGCCACATGCCTGCTCCACTTCTGTGGTTTGAAACTACCCACTTTGTGGTGCTTTATTAAAGCAGCCCTAGGAAATGAAGACAGTCCCCCAGAAAAACTCCCAACAGAGAAAGAAGGGACCTTGGTGCTGGCTTTTACCCCAGTGCCCTCAGTTGTCAGTAATGAAGTCTAGAGACACAGAGACACTTGCAAGGCCAGATGGTTAGAAGCTGGGTACCCAAGTTCTCAGGCTTGGCTTTCTTCTGAGATGTAGACGCCACATGGACCACCCTTCCACAGTGACAGCCATCTGACCTTGCTTCTAATACAGCTCTCGGCTTACTCAGTAACTGAAGTATCAAGTAACGATAAGGGGGCTGCAATGTACACATTAGCATGGAATGTGCCACGTCTGTGTACACCGCCCCTTAGTACCTAAGGGAGATGGGGTCCAGCATCCCCAGCAGATACCAAAATCCACGGCTGTTCAAGTCCCTTATATAAATGGCATAATATTCGCATATAACCTACACTCAACCTCCCGAATGCTTCCTCTCGTCTCTACCTGACTGAGAACATCTAACACAGCATAGAAGTTAGGCAAGTAGTTGTACTGTATTGCATAGTACAATGATGAAAAATAATAAGATAAGGAATAAGGAAAAAGTGTATGTGTTCAGGATAAATGCAACGTGTTCACTACTTTTGATCAAGGTAGTTGGACCCAGGGCTGTGGGATCCATGGATATGAAGGGCCAACAGTGTGGTCTCTGGTCAAGGGGATCTGAAAGGAAGACCACTGGGAATGGGGGTGGCGATGCTGAAAACCTCAAATCCTCAAAAGGGCGGGCAACAGGCAGCTAATGCTCTTTCTAGCCATCCCAGGGACCGAGCCACTCTCCCTGAGGCCTGGGTTCTTCTACGGGCGGAATCAGCCCTGGAGGAGGGAGGAATCGCGCCTTACCAGGCCTGTGCAACTCCAAAGCCAGAAAGTGTGCCAAGGTGGCTTTTCAGGTTACTGAAATTCATCGAGTTCCTTGAGCGCCCCCTTGTGGCTGCCTGGGCACCTGACCCCACTACTTCCTTAGGCCTCAGAGGAACCACTGAGGGCCAGTGGCATTTACAGCGTGGGGCTGCATGCGGTGGACTCTTTGCTGTGGAAGCACCTGCCAGTGTGGTTCTTCAGCCCAACTGCCAAACGCTGTTAGCTGTAGGGCAAGAAACCTGGGACTCGAGGGAACAGCTTTCTAATGACTGACAAGGCCTTGTGGAGCTTGTAAGGAAAAAAAAATACTCTCCCTGCTATTGCAAAGTCTTAAAATATAAGGCAGACTGGGGGAAGTCCGGTTCTGTCTTGGGTTTGATTTCATCCTAGAAGCCCCTGGAAATTTAAAATGTACAGGATGTGTGGCCCTCATGTGGCTGCTGAAAGAAACTGTAAAAAAGCACATGACGTGTATGACACAATTGGAAATTGATTAGGTATTTGATGATAGCAAGAACTTAAATCTTTTTGTGTGATGATATTGTAGGTATGTACATTGAAGAGCCCTTAACTTTTAGATGCATACTGAAATCTTTATGGACAAAATGACATAGAATCTGGATTTCCCTCAAAATAATACTGGGAGGAACTGGCATAGATTGCCCACCCACAAAACTGGCTGGCAGGTTAACTACAGAAGCCAGCTGAGCGGCCAAGAGACCTCCTTATACTCTCTTCTCTATTTCTGTATATGTTAAAAATTCATAGAGTAATAAGAAGAGAAAAGCAATGTATAGAAACACTCATTTCAACGTGGAGTTGAAGAGTGAGTATCAATAGCTGGGTGCCTCCTCTAATTCTTCTACATTCTGAAATCCACGCTTTGTTCCATATGCCAACCATGGATGAAAGTTGGCCACATCACTACTAGCGAGCCAACTGCTCTCTCACTGCACAGCATGCACCCGTACAGAACCATGTGTCCGTGTGTCAGTCAAAAACCAAATACAACGTAACAAAACTAAATATCAGGTCATTAAAACAAGCCAGTTACCACAGTGACTCCAAAGGAACTCGAGTCTCCCTTAAGCTCCTCTGGGCTCATTCTGGGAAGTTCCGGGGATACCTGGCTTGTCTTGTGAACCCCTGAACTCTGCGATTCCTCTCCAATGGGCCTGGCTCTCCTCAGAGCTCCCAAGAGCTGCTGGCAGGAACAGTGCCCCCAACACCTACTGAGGCTCCCCCCCGCCCTGGCACGCTCTGCAGCGGGCCTCCTTCTGTCCAGCCTCTCTGCGTGGACATGGGCTGGGCTGCGCTCAGACCTCTGTGTCCATGCCAAGCACACATGGTCTCTACACAGGCCATGAGGCTTTCTCCTCTCTGTCCCTACTCACACTCTCCGAGCTCTGATTCGGGCTGGGAGGCAGAGTGGTGGCTCTGATTCGGGCTGGGAGGCAGAGTGGTTGGCTCGCTGCAGACGCTGGGCGTGCAGCTTGTCCTCATGCTCATGTCCATCCATCTCCCTTGGCTGCAGTGGGACTGCATCGCAGCGGCGCGAAGGGTGACTTGAGTGACTGCTGCTGCCCGTCTGCATCTGTCCTGTTCATCACTACCTTTCTAGCCTTTGCACTGTGACCAGAAAACAGCAGGTGTCAAATAAACTTGAGTGGACACAGTGGTGAAAGCAATCCCTCCCGCCCTTGGATGAGCTCTTTTCCAGGAGGCACCTGCTGCAGATGGGCAGGCCCTGCTCAACCAGGTCTGATATGCTCGGTCCTGTAAGGGTCATCCCACAGGTGGCCCAGCCTGTCCAGTCCCCCGTCCAGGGAGCGTGAAGCCTAAGAGGCTCCCTGGAGGGGTGCAAAGTCGTTAGTCCCTTTGACAAGAGCTAAACAACCAAGCAAAGTTTACCATGGACCCTAGAAAAGCCATTTGTACCAGGAAGGATCCGACTAGAAGGGATCCACAAAATGAAGTGGTTTAGAGAGAGATGATGCAGGAAAAACAGACATTAACCTAACTGTCATGATCTTTAGAGAACAAAGAGCAGACATGGTCCCAAATGAAATAGAACAGGGAGTTTGGTGCAGCAGTGGAGATGCCAATTGGGATGCCCACACCCATATCAGAGCGACCAAGTTCAAGTCCCAGCTCTGCTCTGGATTCCAGCTTCCTGCTAATGCACACTCTGGGAGGCAGCAGGTAATGGCTCGAGTACTTGGGTCCCTGCCACCCATTGTGGGCATTTGGGAGTCAACCAGCAGATGAGCGTCTCTCTGGCAGCCTGTCTCTCTGCCTCTCAAATAAAAAAGTAATTAAAAGTTAAAACAGAAACAGGATGCTAGGACAAAGAAGTGGTTCTTGTTTCTTTCATTCACCAATGACCAAATATTCTTGAAGTCACCTGCGAATAAGGACCTCAGGAGTAATAACAGGAGTGTCAGACCCTCGTTTGGAGGGGCTTTCCCTCTCCCTGGGCCGCCAGAGCAGGCAAGCACAGCCTGACAAAGTGCTGGGTACCTCAGCAGCCTCTGCAATATACAAGAGTGCATTTATTATTTCAAATGTTGGTTGGAGTTAAACAGTTTACTAGGAAGGAAATCATATATGCTCCCAAGTAACAATGCAACTGTATATACTATTTTTTCAGTAAGGAACAAAACAATGTCTGCTTCTACGCCTTCTGTGCCTATCATTATTAGCG